GTTCAGAAGGCGAAAACCCACCCCCACCCGCAATCCCGACGCCCGTCCCCGAGCCGGCGATGCAAGGGGTCGGGACTGGGGGTGGGGGTGGGTTTTCTCCATTCCTGGACCCCGAAAACCCACCCCCACCCCCAGTCCCGACTCCGTGAATCGCGGGTTCGGGGATGGAGTCGGGACTGGGGGTGGGGGTGGGTTTTCGCCTTCGCAGAGGGTCGGTTTTTCAAGTCACGGGAGCCGTGCGTACCCTCGCAACTCCGCTCTCAGAGTGCACCAGCGTCTAGAAGCGTCTGGTGATCTATGATTCAGCGCCAGTGGCCCGTGCAGCGTCGATGAGCGTCGACTGGAGTCGATCTGGCGTCGATTAGCGTCGACTAACAAGAGCAAAAAAGCACCAAGATGGTGTGCCACCTTCACCCCTCCCGGGCGGCGTTGCACGAGAGGGTGCGGTTCGTAAGGGCCAGCATCCGAACTGCGGCGAGAGGAGTCAAGAATGTCCCGTCGACCGTTCTCCCGTGAAGTTCTCCGCACATGCCTTCATGTGGCGCTGTTTTCCCCCTTTGGCTCGAAGGGCCCAACTCGTGGGGGATGAAGCCCCCCACCCCACCCTCCTCTTTTACCTGCCGATGTCTCTCGGACTCTCCAGCAGGGTTCGACCTGAACAGTTTTCTGTTTTCCGTTTTCATGTTGGTTTCGTTTCTTCGTGTTTGTTTGTCTCCAATCCACTTTCTGCTGCAAAACAACAGCGAAAGGACAACGGCCCCCGAAATCGCCAAAGCACCGTTTAGGTCTACCCGTGCTCTCCTCTGGGTCGCCTCCCCAGTGGTGTTGAAACTCTCAGGGGTTGAAACGAAAATAAGAAGAAAAAAAATAGGTCCACACGTGCTCTCCAGCTGGCTCTTCCCTCCCTTCCGCACCCGTGCGCCGCGCCAGCTCTCGGGCGCGCAGAGCGCGCTCGTGCCCGCCCGCACTGCCCGTCCGAAGGGGTCTGCGGTGGCACCTTTTCTCCGAGGTGTGCGGTGGAGGCCCCATGCCAAGAAGCACCCCGCTTTCCCCCCGGGTGCCCTGGGTTTCTTTAGGGGAACAAAATATGACATAAACATCAAAACTCGGAGGTCCGCGCGGATTTCTCGGATCGGCGCTGGACCCCCCTCCCTGGCGCGCGGAGCGCGCCAGGGGCGGCGCCGGAGGCGCCGCCCGGGGGCCCCAGCGCCGATCCGAGAAATCCGCGCGGACCTCAGAGTTTTTATGTTTATGCCACTTGTTGTTCCCCTATTCTTGGGCTTCGATGTCTTTGCCATGGAAAGCGTCACGCTCCCGCACACAAAAAATCCATGGATGTCCCGGGGTCTCAGGGTGAGGTTCTCGTGGAAGGTTTCATTGTGGATTGGCCTCCGCTGTATGTTATCGACTGTCGCTCTATCATTTGCCGACGAGGGATTCAGGTCGGGCGGGGCCCGGACGAGGATGTATCCGTTCCACAGCTTCGCTGAGCAGGCCGCGGCGCCCGAGGTGTCGTCCAGAGCAGCCGGATCTCAGAGATGTTCTCGATGTTCAGTCAACCCGCATAATGAGGAGCATTTTCCCAAGATTACCCTTGCATCCTTCCCCTTCGGCCCCGTCCTTGGCCGCTTTCGCTGGCCGCGCCCCGCTCGCAAGGCGTCGACATGGCCTCCCGAGGCCCTTGCCTCCTCGCAAGGCGTCGACATGGCCTCCCAAGGCCCTTGCCTCCTCCTCGTGCGTCCTTCTTCCACGGGCTGGCTGCATCCTCGTCCGCCCTTGTCCTCGCCACGGCTCCGTCTCAGCAGGGGGCCAGCCCTCCTCCGTCCCCCCCCCTCCTCCCCCTCCTCCTCCTCCTCCTCCTCCTCCTCCTCCCTCTACTCCTCCTCCTCCTCCCCTCCTCCTCCTCCTCCTCCTCTCCTTCATCCCCCTCCTCTTCCTCCTACCCCCTCCTCATCCTCACCCTCCTCCTACCACCTCCTCCCTCCTCCCCCTCCTCCTCCCCCTCCTCCTCATCCCCCCTCCTCCTCATCTACCCCTGCCCTCTCCCCCAGAGCACATCCCTCGCCCCACCTCCCCCATGTCCTCGGCCCGGCCCGCCCCCCCCGCTGCGGCGCCCGCCCCGCGCTCCGCGGAGGACCCGACGGACACCCTGGAGACCGTCTTCGTCGCAGAGCTCGCCGCACAGACCGCCCCCCGCGCCGCCCCCCGCGGGGCTCCCCCCCCCGGCGCCTCGCCAGGGGAGAGGAGTCGGAGGAGGAAGAGGTATCCGTACCTCTATACCCCTGCCTCGTTCTCCCCGTTTTTTGGGCCTCCTCGGAGTCCCTCGTCGCCACCGCTGGATTCGCCTCGAGATGCTGGTCAGAGCGCACCCCGGGAGAGGTCCGGGGAGTAGCAGTATCGGTAGGGGTTCTTCGGGGGCAGCGATCGGGGAGGGGGGTCGGCTTGGGGGGGGGGGAACGCAGCGACCCCCGGCCGCCCATGGATCGCCGACAGGCGACAGGAGCCCCCATAGGGGGGGGACGCAGCGACCCCCGGCCGCCCACTGATCGCCGACGGGCGAGAGGCGAGGCCCCAGCCTCCGCAGGAGCTTGCGGATCTGATCTACCACCGGGGGCACAATCGCTGATCTATCGGCGGTCAGTGATGTGTCGCCGAGTGTGGGTTTACGTCGGGCGTGTCCCTCCACAGGAGGAATATTCAAAAGTCGTCAAAAAAGAGTAAGGGGACGATGTTTTGAGTAGATGTTTTACTATTGTCAATGTTTTCAGGGTATGTTTTGTTTTCCATCTCAGATCCGCCTGTAGAGGGACATGCACGGCGTAATTCTAGGTCGGCGTTTACCTCCCATGTGGCAGTCCCCCCCTTCCAATCGTTGCCCCTCAGTCCCGGGGAACACGGGCCCTGGGCTCTCTCGTTGGCGGCGGCTTCCTGGGCCCTCCTCAGGCACCGGGGCCGTCGGACGGGGTCCAGGACCCGTCCTAAGGATCCGTTCTCCTCTTCCATCGAGTCCTCGCTCTCCTCTCCTTCCTTCCTGGGCCCCCGCCCTCCTCTCTCCTCAGCCATTGTTTGTTTCGTGTTCATCCCTTCTCGTCCTTCCCCGCCCTTACCCCTCCTCATCCTCCCTCCCCTGCTACCCCCGCACCCCTCTTTCTTACATTCATGCATGCCAGCGGAAACGCGCGTCAATGCCGCGCGCCCCAAACACCCCGCGGCCCGCCAACATGCGGCCCGCTCACACCTTGGAGGTGGGTGGAGGCCCCAGCCGGGGAGGCCGAGAGGGGGCCCACAGGAGACCTGCGCAACCAGGGAGGGCAAGAAGAGAGGCACGGCACAGCCGGTCCCCCGGACAAGACTCCCAGGCGAGGGACCCCCGGCCGGGAAGGCTGGGTTGCTCGTCAGGAGACCTGCTCATCCAGGGGAAGGGGCGGGATGACGTTGCCCCAGGGCCCCGGTGCACCGCCAGACAACGAGGCACCCCTCTGGGGGCCCTCACCCCTCTTTCTTCTCTTCTCCCATCCTTCTCCTCCTCCTCCTCCTTCTCCTCCTCCTCCTCCTCCTCCTCCTCCTCCTCCTCCTCCTCCTCCTCCTCCTCCCCTTTCCTCCTCCTCCTCCTCCGCCTCCTTCTCCTCCTGTTCCGCCTTCTCCTCCGCCTCCTCTTCCTCCACCTTCTCCTCCTCCTTCTCCTCCTCCTCCTCGTCACCATACTTTGTACGGGCAAGCACGCGCGTTCGTCCTCCTTAGCTATCTCTCAGTACAGATGCCCTCCAGAAAGGCTGACGGGTTATCTTCACTGTCAGCAAGCAGGCCAGTCACGACAGAGTGGCATCGGCTGGTAGGGTGGGCGAGTGCCGCCCCCAGCCACTTCTCCCCTCGTCTTCTTCTTCTTCCTCCTCATCCTCCTCCTACTCCTACTCCTACTCCTACTCCTCCTCCTCCTCCTCCTCCTCCTCCTCCTCCTCCTCCTCCTCCTCCTCCCTCCGCAGGTGCCCTCCAGGAAGGCTGACAGGCCAGTCACGACAGAGTGGCATCGGCCGGTAGGGTGGACGAGTTCCACCCCCAGCCACGGGATGAGCTTTCTCCTCCTCCTACTCCGCCCCGCCTCCTCCCCTCCGCCTCTACTCCTCCCTCCTCCTCTTCCTCCTCCTCCTCCTCCTCCTCCTCCCCGACCACGTGATTACCCTCCTCCACCTCATCCTCCTGCTCCTCCTTCTCCTTCTGCCTCCCCTCTCTCATCCCTCATCCCCATCGGCCGCGGCAGACCAGCCAGTGGGGCCTGTCCCCCTCTTGCTTGCCGAGGGCGCTCTCTTGAGCCTGGAGTTGCGGGCAGGGAGCGATGGCCCGGCCAAGCTGTCTCGAGGAGGAGGAGGAGGAGGAGGAGGAGCATACACAGCCGAGTCCGACTGCACGGGCGACTCGAGCGAGTTGCGACCCAAGCAGGTCGAACCACGGGCCACGGGCGATGCCGGGCGGACTGCGAGGGCGGCGCGGCGCCCCGTTTCGTCAACGATCGCCCGAAAGCCTGGGCCCCAGGCCTTGCAACTCGATCCCCGGAACTCTCCTGTGGGACGCTCGTCGGGGATGACGGAAAGCGCGCGTTAGCGTGCGGTCCGTTAGTCGGAGGAAATCGGACTTTGGGGAGTTCGAGGGGGTTGGCATCGCCGGGCCCGGATCTAATTGCCCTCCCGCCTCGTTTTTTATCGGAAAACGCTTCTTGGGCGCTTCTTGGGCCGTCTTAGGCGCCTAAGACAGCCCAAGAAGCGGCCAAGACGGCGCCCAAGACGGCCCAAGACGGCCCAAGAAGCGCCCAAGACGGCCCAAGAGCGCTCCAAGAGAGCCGAAGACCGCCCAAGGCGGCCCCAAGACGTCCCAAGAGGCCTCCACGACGCCCCAGGAGGCGCCCACGAGGCGTCCCAAGAGGGCTCCCAACAGAGAGCTGCGGCGTAGTAAGTTCTTGACGCCAGGGCACAGGGACGGGCGTCAACGCGTGGACAACGAGCGGTCCACGCAAGGAAAACGCGGGGTTCTGGAAAGCTGGCAGCCCAAACGCGGAAAACGCAACGCGACCCGACCGCCCCCTCACAAACAAGAAACGCGCTCAAAGAAAGCTCCGCGACTCTCCGAGGCTGAGATAGGACAAGAGCGAGGGGAAGGGAGTCAATAAGAGGTGTGAGAGCGGACGAGCCAGCGATCTCGTGCGCTCTGAAAGTAAGTGCGCTTTCCGTCCCCGTGCCAAGCAGGTCTACTGGCCCGGGTCAGTCCAGACCAGGGTCAGTCAGGCCTCGCAGGATCCTGCAAGATCTCGCATGATCTTGCAGGATCCTGCGCCCAAGCCTGGGTCAGTGCAGGATCCTGCAAGATCCGGCGCTCTGACTGACCCCCGTTTGCATTGACCCCCGTCTCTTGAGCCCCGAGCTAGCGTCGACGAACTTCCTGGGCCCACATGACTGATCTGTCCGACTCGATGTTGACTCTAGCTCGACTCCGGTTCGACTCGAGTCGACGGGCGCTGGATGCAGCATTTGACGCACGAGTGGGCCGAGTGTCCCTGGGAAGGTCGCCAGAACGAGCATCCAGCTCTCGGGACGCGCCCTGCAAGAGTTGCAGGGCGAACCCAGCCGTGGCGGCGACGACGAGCCCCAGAAAGTGCGCCCAGGACGCCCGGGGTGCGTGCTGGCAAACATTCAGGAGGGAACAAAAACACACAGACACAATGAATCGACGATCCCTGAGAAAATATGGGAAAATATGGGAATTGGGCGGGAAGACAAAAACCCAGAACATAAGGGAAAATATAGGGAGCCTTTTTATTTGTGTGTATTCATTTGCGTGTCCTTGGTCCCCTGCAAACGTGTCAGGGCGAATCCAACCCCGGAGGCGATGAGGAGCTCCAGAAAATGCCCCCCGAGGGCGCCCGAGAGGCCTCGACGGGACGGCTCCCGGACCCTCGAAGGAATCGCTGCTCCGCCCAGCATGTGCTTTCCCCCCGCTCAGCTCCGTCGATGCCACGCGGCCTGTGTGCGCCCTCGCTGCGATTGGACCGAGGTACAAGATTGAGGTCGGTTCGGATATATGCATGTCTGTCAAGTGCTGGTCACACAAATGCTCAAACAAATGATGAGGCACTAAAACAAGGCTTTGGCATAGCACGTTTCATAGTCATTTTTTGAATTCGTGCTTGCTGGATGTTCCTTTGCATCCTGGAGGAGTGCACCCTCGACCGTTCTTCTGTTTGGCCAGTGGAGGTCTCATGTTCTTTCAGGGTGTCCTTTTGTCCCGGGCCCTGCTTGAGCACGCGGCCTGTTGTTGCCCTCATTACACCGCTTGTGATGTGGTGAAGAGCTTCGGTGGACAAACACATGATTCTAGGCCTCCCACATGGGGTCCACGCACATGGGGTCAAAGGGTCGCTCCGCATCGCCGATGCATCGGCGATGCGGCTCGATGCGGAGCCCAATCCTCTCCACGTCGACGTCGACGTCGCCGATGCATCATCGACGTCCACATGCATTGCCGATGCATCGGCGATGCGGCACGGTTTTCCGACCCCAAACCCAGACCCAATTCGGGAGGCCTCAACCATCGCCGATCTATCGGCGATGTATCGCCGACTCCAGGTCGATGTTTCCCAGCCCTGAGTTTGTCAATGCTTTTGGGCTGCAGCAAAGGAGAATGAGTAGGATGACGAGGAGGAGGAGGAGGTGGAGGAGGAGGAGGAGGAGGAGGTGGAGGAGGAGAGAGAGAGGGAGGGGAAGGAGGGAGGCCGAAGAGGATGAGCAGGAGGAGAATGTGGAGAAATGTGAAGGAAGGATGATCAGGAGGAGGGAGGAGGGGAACGAAGAGGAGGAAGGAGAAGGAGGAATGCAAGAAGGACGCGGAGGAGGAGAAATAAGGAGGAGGAGGAAGGAGGAAGGGTTTAGGCTTAGGAGGAGGAGGATGAGGAAGGAGGAAGGAGTGAGGAGGCCGAAGAGGAATGAGGAGGAAGGAGGAGGCCGTGACGTTCCGCCCGCAGCCCCGGTACCTACGGCCTGCCGCGGCCGCCAACCATGCGCCCTCCGCCAGGATCTTCGGCAGCAAGCCGAAGCCAGACGCCTCGTCGAGCGGGGACCTGTTCATGTCACGGCCGCCTCTGAATCAGGACTGGGGGAGGAGGGGGAGTGGGAGGAGGAGAAGGAGGAGGAGGAGGAGGAGGAGGAGGACGAGGACGAGGAGGAGGAGGAGGAGAAGGAGGAGGAGGAGGAAGAAGAAGAAGAAGACGAAAAAGGAGAAGAAGACGAAGACGAATAATAACAATAAGAAGAAGAGACAAAAACAGAAGAGGAGGAGGAGGAGGGGGAGGAAGACGAAGAGGAGGACGAGGAGGAGGACCAGTGTAAACCCAAGAGTCATCAAAAACGTTGGGATGAACCCTCCCTCCAATCTCCCTCTCCATAGGCTCCTACAATGGTTCATCTCCACTGAGGGAACTGCGTCGTCGGAAGACAACCGTTTGAAGATCCTGAAGCATGCCAAAACAGTATTCTCGGGAATTCTAACGCCACGGATCAACCTGATTGTTGCGGCTTGACGAGCCTGAGAATCGTGCCAGACCGCCATTCTTGGGACTTCAGCACCGCGATTCAACGTAATTGTTGCGCCCGCCTAGCCCTACACCTTTCCAAACACTCGTTCTGGTACGTTGACCATGGGCGTCCGTGAAACTCTGGTAAATTTTATATCTGAGTACGTGTGGCGCAAAAGCTAGAGCCACATTTTGGAAAAGGAGCCGCCCTCAATCCGTGAAGCTTGTGCAAATGTGTAAACGAATGTACGCGGCGCTTAGGCGAGAGCCACATTTTGACATCCACCCGCCCACAATCCGTGAAAGTTGTGCAATTGTGTGTAACGCATGTGCGCGGCGGTCAGGCGAGAGCCACATTTTGGAAAGCATCCGTCCTCAATCCACGAAGCGCTTGCAAGTTTCTGAAACTGATGTGCGCGGCGCTCAGGCTAGAGCCACATTTTGAAAACCCGTCGCCCTCAGTCCGTGAAGCGCTTGCACATTTGTTTACTTAAATGGGCTCGGCGCTAAGGCGAGAGCCACACTTTGAAAACCACCCGCCCGCCATCTGTGAAACTGTTCCCAACGTTTCAGTTTCAACGTCATACATGGTGAGGAAATCTCGGGCGAAACGCCTGGCCCGCCCTAAAAGCTTGCTTCGGGGCGCGACAGGGAGAAGCCATTTATAAGGAGAAAGGGCTGGAGGAGGAAGAAGAGGAGGAGGAGGAAAACGAGGAGGAGGAGGAGGAGCTGGAGGATGAGGTGGAGGAGGAGGGGGAGGGGGAGGAAGACAAGTTAGGTTCGCTCGCGTCATATCTGACGTCCTACCCTTCCCTCCCATCCCTGACCATGCCGTAAATCGTCTCTCTATTCGCACAGCTGGATGCCGTAGCATGGCATAGCATCACATGGCATAGCATGGTGTTGAAGATCAGCGCGTAGCATGACATAGCATGGCGTGGCGACGCCCCAAAGTGAGGGGGCTTCTGCGGCCTACCCAAAAAACGACGAGTGGACACCGGATGTGGAATCACTTCCAATGGTTGTTTTTCTGGGAGGGGCATTTTCTAGATGTTTGGGCCTACTTGGAAGAACCGAAGAAATGCCGTGGCATGGCGCTGAAATAATGACGCCAGCGCTGCAGCGGGAACACGATTCGGAACGAGCGGAAGCGCGGAAATGAGGCCAGCGTTGCAGCGGGAGCACGATTCGGATCAAGCGGAAGCGCGGGAATGGGGCCAGCGTTGAAGCGGGAGCAGTATTCGGAACGAACGGACGCCCGAAAATGAGGCCATTGTTTCAGCGTGAGCCACATCTTTTAATCTCTATATATAGGAGAATAAACAAAAAAGGAATCCAGTGTGGAAAAAAAACAGTGCGCGGAGGGGGGCCAGATCCTCCAGACGTCATTAGGGGAGAGAGGAGAGTATTATTCGTAGCGTGTACACTTGCAATTTGGGAGGGTGATGATGATGATGATGAGGAGGAGGAGGAGGAGAAGGAGGAGGAGGAGGACCAGTGCAAACCTACATAAGAGTCATCAACGTTGTTGGAGTAAACCCTCCCTCGAAGCTCCCTCGTCATAGGCCCTACAACGGTTCAGTTCCATTGAGGGAACTGCCTCGTTGGAAGACACCCGTTTGAAGACCCTGGAGCATGCCAACACATTGTTCTCGGGATGCCAACGCCACGGATCAACCTGTTGCACCTTGACGATCCTGAATCGTGCCAGGACGCCATTACTAGGACTTCAACATTGACGAGCAACGTAATTGAAGCGCCAGCGTAATCCTGAATACATTTAAAACGCGATCTCCGGTACGGTGATGTATGGAATTCGTGGAAGAATTGCAAATGTTCAAAACGAATATGCGCGGCGCTGAGGCGTGAGCCACATTCTGAAAAGGAACCGTCCTCAATCCGTGAAGCTCTTGCCAATTTCTACACCGAATGAGCGCCGCGCTAAGGCGAGAGCCACATCTTGAAAACCACTTGCAAATGTGTGGAACGAATGTGCGCGGCGCTGTGGCGAGAGCCACATTTTGAACAAGAAGCGCCCTCAATCCATGAAAGTCCTGCAAATTCTTTAAACAAAGCCGAGCGCAACATTTTGAGAACCACCCGCCCTCAATCCGTGAAGCTCTTGCAAGTTAGGGCAACGAGTCCGCGCTAAGGCGAGCGCCACGTTTTGAAAACGACCCGCTCTCCATCCGCGAAGCCGTTGCCAATTTTTCAGCGTCAGGGTCATACAGGGTGAGGAAGTCTCGGGCGAAACGCCCGGCCCGCCCTAAGCACTGGCCTCGAGGTGCAGCAGGGATGTGTCACTTATCAGGAAAAGGAATGGAGGAGGAGGAGGAGGAGGAGGAGGAGGAGGAGGAGGAGGAGAAGGAGGAGGAGGGAAGGGAGGTGGAGGGGGAGGGGAGGAGGAGGAGGAGGAGGACGAGAAGAGGAGGAGGAGGAGGAGGAGGAAGAGGAGGAGGACCAGTGTAAATCCAAGAGTCATCATCGATGCTTGGATGCTTGGGTAAACCCTCCCTCCAAGCTCCCTCTTTCATAGGCCCCTCCAACGGTTCAGTTCCATTGAGGGAACTGCCCCGTTGGAAGACACCCGTTGAGAGACCCTGGAGCATGCCAAAACGTAATTGTTGCGCCCGTATAGTCCTAAATACATCCAAAACACGAATTCTTGTACGTCGACGTTGGGAATCCGTGCAACTCTTAAAACTGTTTAAAATGAATGTGCGCGGCGCTAAGGCGAGAGCCACATTTTGAACAAGAAGCGCCCTCAATCCGTGAAAACGAATGTGCGCCGCGCCAAGGCGAGAGCCACATTTTGAAGACCACTCGCCCTCAATGCGTGAAACCCTTGCACATTTTGAAAACAAATGCGCGCGGCGCTCATGCAAGAGCCACCTTTGGAAAGGAGCCGCCCTCAATCCGCGAAGCACTTATTTACAAAAAAAGAAGATAAACAAATGCGCGCGGCGCTAAGGCGAGAGCATTTTGAAAACCACCCGCCCTCAATCCGTGAAATTCCTGCATATGTTTCAAACGAATGTGCGCCGCGCTAAAGCGAGAGCCACATTTTGAAAACGACCCGCCACCCATTTGTGAAACTGTGGCCATTTGTTTAGCTTCAGAGTCTTAACTGGTGAAGAAGTATCAGGCGAAACGCCCGGCCCGCCCCTAAAAACAGGCTTCGGGGTGCGACAGGAAGAAGTCAGTTACAAGGAACAGGACTGGAGGAGAAGGAGAAGGAGAAGGAGGAGGAGGAGGAGGGAAGGAGGAGGAGGAGGAAGAGGAGGAGGAAGAGGAGGAGGAGGAAGATAAACATAAAAAGAAGAGGAGGAGGAGGAGGAGGAGGAGGTTCATGGGCAGGAGGAGGAGGAGAAGGAGGAGGAGGAGAGGAGGAGAAGGCGCATGGGAGGAGGAGGAGGAGGAGGAGGGAGGAGGAGGAGGTGGAGGTGGAGGCGGGGAAAGAGGAAGGGGAGGAGTTTGAGGAGGGGGAGGGGGAGGAGAAAGAGGTGGAGGAGGAAGAGGTGGAGGAGGAGGAGGAGGAGGACAGCGAGGAGGTGAAGGAGGAGGAGGAGGTGGAGGAGGCGGTGGAGGAGGAATGGAAGTAGGATGAGGAGGAGGAGCAAGGGGATGAGGATTGAGGAGGAGGGTGTGCCACTCGAGGCGCCTGCGCGAACGCGCCGGCGCCTCCAGCACCAACGAAATGGTTACGGACGACGACGACGTCGAGGACGACGACCACGACGGACGATCGACGACGGACGATCGACGATCGACGATGGACGACGTACGACCGACGACCGACAATGACGATGATGACGTTGCTACTGACGAGTGAAACAGGACAGCGTCACCCACTCGCCGATAGGATCGGCCGACCGCGTGGTGAAGTGGGATTCCGCAGCGCGGCGTCTGCTTCTTGTGTGTTGTTGTCGTCGTCCTCGCCCGCGACCTGACCGCGGGCCGCCCACGATCCGCCCGCGACCCACCCACGACCTGACCGTGGCTCGCCCGCGATCCGCCGGCGACCCGCCCGCGACCCACCCTCGACCAAGCCGCGACCCGCATCTTATTGTTTGGCGAAAATTCGGCGCCTGCGGCGGGCTCGCTGTGTAATGCGTCGTGAATCGGCGCCTGCGGCGGGTTTCCTCGGAGTCTCGCGGGTTGCCGACGACCCCCTCCCCGGGCCCCCTCATTCTTGTCCACAACTGCGGGGATGATGGTACATTTACTGGAGTCCGCGCGGACCGATCGCGTCGGTGCTGGTCCCCGCTTGGCGCCAGGGCCGGTGGTGTCAGCGCCAGGGCACCCCCGACAGTATTTTGGTTATGCAGTTTTGCGTTTTCCAGACAGGGAGTTGTCATTCCTCTCCTCTTCAAGTGGCAACGTGATGAGGATACAGTCAACACGCGTAGTAAGGAGATGGGCGACCTTCCCAAGAGTACCCTGGCATCCTTGCCTCCTCGGTTCATCCTTGGCCGCTTTCGTTGGCTGCGCCCCGCTCGAAAAGCTTCGAGGTGGCCTTCCAAGGCCCTTGCATCCTCATCGCGCATCCTTATGTTGCGGGCCGAACGACCCCCCATCGCCCCACGATCGCCGAGAGGGGCCCGATATGCCACCCCGCCCGGGAGGGGTAAGGTTCGCTATGGGGGGCCTGTCGCCGGTCCGTCGGTGCGGCCTCGCCGATTTCCAGGTCGATGTCTCCCCCTTGAATTGGGACCCGCTCCTAACGTTATGTCGGGCGTGTCCCCCTACAGGAGGATTCTCGACGAAAAAATGAAAGTACCCCAACAAATATCCCAAAAAGGCCAAACAAAAAAGACCCCAAAATGACCCCCAGACTAGTTTGGGAGCATTTTTTCATTATCTTGGTGGTATTTTCTATTTTTCGTCGAAAATCCCCCTGCAGGGGGACACGCCCGACTTAATCCTAGCGTTGCCCCCGTGCCCTCTGCTCGCCGGCGGGGCTGGAGCGCGCGGCTCCTCCGGCCGCCTCCTCCTTTCCCCCCCATCGCCGCCGGCGCCCAGAAGATAGAGAAGATCGAGGACCTGGAGGCGCACCTCCCCGACATGGCCGGCTCGGACGTGCCCAGCCCGCCCCTCTTCTCTCGGCGGCGAGCGAGGGGGGGGGAGGTGAGAGGGAGAGGGCCTTCTCAAAACTCCTCCTCCTCCTCCTCTTCTTGATTACTGCTTTCTGATGGCATCATCATCCGCTGGAGTGCTGCCCCCCGCCGCATGGAGAGGGCCTTCTCGGCAGGCGGCGGGGCCGATCTGAGGGCCTCCGGCCTTCTGAAGGGGTGTTCCGTGTCCTCGGGGGAGGCTTTGAGAAGCAGTCAGCTCCTCCTCCTCCTCCTCCTCCTTCTCCTCCTCCTCCTCCTCCTCCTCCTCCGCCTCCGCCTCCTCCTCCTCCTCCTCCTCCTCTTCCTCGTCCTCCTCCTCCTCCTCCTCCTCCTCCTCCCCCTCCTCCTTCTCCTCCTGAGAAGGCCCGCCCTTTCTCATTTCTTCCCTCGGTCGCCGCCAATTCTCTGCGAGCCGTGTTCCGTGTGCCTTCCTGGTCCCTTCGGCCATGAGCCACGATTCGAGGCAGGTTCTGGCATGCAGCAATCGACCCATGGTCAGACGCATCTGAGATGCAGAAGCCCATCGACATGCGCTGCGCACGGGCGGCCTCAAGTTTGCGCCCGCGCTCTGCCTGAGTGTGCCCTCACCCGGCGCACGGCCTTGCACCATGCTCCGCGTCTGCACGCTGCGATGCTGAGCGGTGTCCAGTGTCATGCGTGATACCTCAAGGCGGTGAATGCCCCCAGATTGTTTTAACGTGTACGCACCGATAGCTATACGCCAGGTGAAGACGGACCTGCTGTTCCGATATTCCATTGACCGCAAGGAGTTGATGCTGAATCAGGAGCCGGGGCTGAGGATGTCGCAGCGGGAGGCAAGGGCGCATGAGGAGAGCACAAGGTTCACTTGCCCCCCTCCCTTTTTTCCTGGGGAGGAGGCGCAATATTTTACAGGTTTGCGCCGCATCCGCTGGCCCCCCTCGGTGTAGATTATGTCCCATGTTTTTTTGGGGGTGTCCAGGGTGATGGTGATGTAGATGAAAGCGAGAGGATGACGTGGGAGCAGGAGGAGAAACCGGAGGAGGAGGAGGAGGAGGAGGAGGAGGAGGAGGAGGAGGAGGAGGAGGAGAAATGTAATTTCGTTGGGGGTTCGAGCTCTGATGCCTGGACCCTGGCCATGACCCCTGGAAATATGTGCACGGGGAGGGACGATGGCATGGGGAGGCGAGGACATGACATACGGGGAGGGACAGGGGGGCCCAGCACGGCGGCACTTTCCGTGCTCGCGGGTGGGGGTGAGAGGACCATTCGTTCACACGCCCAGGGCTCCACACATCCTCAGAGTCGCGACGCGTGCGGGCTGGGAGCCCGCGCGGCTCGCTTTTTTCCGCAGCAGCAGGGCTGGGGCGCCAGGCAGGGGGTGGCTGCAGAGGCGCGCCGCGGGGGCCCAGAGCGGAGTCGGCCCGGACCAGAGCTAGTTCTCCCAGGCAGTCGAGGAAGGGGAGGAGGAGGAGGAGGAGGAGGAGGAGGAGGAGGAGGAGGAGGAGGAGGAGGAGGAGGAGGAGGAGGAAGAGGAGGAGGAGGAGGAGGAGAGAGAGTGAGGAGGAGGAGGAGGAGAGGAGGAGGAGGAGGAGGAGGAGGAGGAGGAGGAGGGAGGAGGAGGAGGAGGAGGAGGAGGAGGAGAGGAGGAGGAGGAGGAGGAGAGGAGAGAGGAGGAGGAGGAGGAAGAGGAGGGAGGAAGAGGAGGAGGAGGAGGAGGAGGGGGAGGAGGAGGAGGGTCAAGGAGGAGTGTCCACCAGGTGATTTCATGCGCATGCCGAAGCCACGCCAAAAAGAAGCATGGGGACCCGCCAGTAGGTGCCCCCCCCGGAAGTTCGGCGCGGGGGGCTCACGCAGCCCCGCCAGTCTGGCCAGAAGCGATGCCGAGGCAGGCTGCCCTGATCCTGGATGTGGATGCGCGTGCAGTGGCACAAGGGGTCGGGGAAGCCGCCATACCCCAAGAGGGTGAGGATGGAGTAGGCATCGGGTGAGGAACGGGAGGGGGAGCGGGCGGGAGGACGGAGGAGGGACGAGAAGGAATAGGCGGATGATGAAGAGGAGGGGTAGGACGAGGAGGAGGAAGAGGAGGAGGAGGAGTGGGAGGAGGAGGGGGAGGAGGAGGAGGAGGAGGAGGAGGAGGAGGAGGAGGAGGAGGAGGAGGAGCAGAATGGCCAGATGCTTCTTGGATGCACTCGGAGTCTCTTTGGATGTCCCTTGACAGCTTCTGTGAGTCCTCTGTGAGCGTCTTGAGGGCCACCTGGAGGTCCTGTGGGCCTACTAGAGCGTCTTGGGTACCTCGGGGGAGCCTGTTGGGGTCCTGGGAGTCTCTTGGGGACCTCTTGGAGGCCTCTCGGGGCCTCCTGGGCCCCCTTGGGGCACTCTTAGGAGCCTCGTGGGCCATCACTGGGGGCATCTTGGAGGAGATTGATCAAAGAAGGGGGGGGCCAAAACGGGCCCACAACCTGGGTAGCATCAATTATGCTTGCCTTCTCGCCGAGGCCATCTTGGACTCTCCAATGGGGCGCGGGGCGCTCCCCCCCCCCGTGCCCCCTCGTCCGCGCACGTGCCTCCGGCCACGATGTGCAAGGTCCCCCTCCTGGGCGCCCCCCTCCCTTGGACGAGTCCAGCACATTCCTTACCGCCTCCTCCTCCTCCTCCTCCTCCTCCTCCTCCTCCTCCTCCTCCTCCTCCCCAGGCAGGTGCGCGACTGCGTCACGTGGGCTGCCCAGGCATGCTCGCGCCGTGCAACAAAACAACACGACGGGAGAGTTTTCGCCATTCGGCCTGCCAGAGAATCGTCGGGCCCATGGACCATCAATAACATACCCGGGAGGCACAGCCAGCCCCAGGGAAAGCGTCGGCAGTTCGGGATGCTTTTCGCGCGAACCCTTGATAGTTCCGACAAATGGGTATCCGCTGGATCCGCGTGCCCCCCCCCACTCCGCGGGGCATCCCGGGAGCCCATGAAAGTAGCGATATTTGCGCACTCCACAGCCCCCCAGGGAGCTGCGAGGTCTCCGCTGAGTCTGCGTACTCCCCCACACTCCGCTGGGCCTCCCAGGAGCCCACGAAAGTGGTGACCGTTGCGCAGATTGGGGACTATCCAGCTCAGACCCCCTGGCCCCCCTTCCAAACCTCCGCTCGAACCAAGCAGGCAAGCCTGGTAGGCCATGGGCCAGCCGCCCGAGCACAAGCGAGCCTGACGCTGGTCTCACGAAGCACGACGGTACAGTGCCGTTTTTTATACATGCTCCGCGTGCGGATCACGCATTAAAAATGCATGGATTTAGTATTAGAAACAACGATGAGTTCATATATATATATATATATACATTAATAATTTCGTAAGAATCCTATATGTTAAAAGAAAAAATCTATGTATTAAACATTGCCCTGTAGCATTCGCCTGGTGCCCCAGGGGGTCAGCCACAGTCCAACGGCGTTTTCAGGGAGGGCGGGCTCTCGGGCCGGAGAGACTGGCCCTTCGCACCCCACCCCGCCCCGCGGGCGGGCTCAGCCCCTCGCCTCCTCTCCCGCCTGTTTGGATGCAACTCCCGGGAGGTCGCCGCGAAACGCCCCACGAAACCTCGGGGGTGGACAGAATCCCCACCCCCACACGCCGATGAGTGAATCGTCAGTTTTCGGTTCTCAAAGGGGCGCCGCGGCCGTCATCTTCCAGGCTTGCGCCCGCCAGGCTTGGGCCTGGGGTCGTTTTCACTAAACCGCGTTTTACGAAAGGGGGTTATGTCCATTCCATTCCCGAAAACACCCCACGAAAGACACCCCACGGAAAACACCCTACGAAACACCCCACGAAGAACACCCCACGACCACCCCCCACGGAAATCACTCCAAGAAACGCACAACGAAAAACGCCCCACACAACACTTCTGACGAAAAGCACCCCACGAAGCACCCCACGAAGCACATCCTACGAACCACACCCCACGACACACCCCTCGAGAAACACCCCACGAGAAACACCCCACGAGAAACGCCCCACGGAAAACATCCCACAAAAAACACCCACGAAACACCCGATGAAAAATACCCGGCGAGTGGGGCCCCCGGAGGCCCCAGCGGTGTCCGCGTCTCCCGTGAGGGACCCCTGGAGGCCCCAGTGTGCCCCCAAAACAGCCAGTCGTTGGCGCGCAGAGGCCCCACCAAACGGGCCGTGTTGCCCTCACAAGTCCCAGTGGGCGCACGAGGGAGGGAATACGGAGGCGCAGGGACGATGCGGGGCGAGGACTGAGGAGACGGAGGACGAGATCCAGGAGGTGAAGGAGAGATGATGTTGATGCTGTTGCTGCTGCTGATGATGCTGATGCTGATGATGATGATGATGATGATGATGGTTGTGATGATGCTGATGCTGGTGCTGGTGCTGATGCTGATGCTGATGCTGTTGATGATGGTGATGGTGGTGATGGTGATGGTGATGGTGAGGCTGCTGATGCTGATGCTGATGCTGCTGATGATGAGGGAGAGGATGAGGATAAGGAGAAAGGTACCGATGATGGTGATGATGCCGACGACGACGACGCTGATGATGACGATGATGCTGATGATGGTGGTGATGCTGGTGCCGATGATGATGGTGATGGTGATGACGATTACGATGACGATGCCGATGACGATGACGGCGACGACGACGATGATGGTGATGATGAGGAGGATGATGCGGATGAGGATGATGAGGATGAGGAGGATGATGATGATGGTGACGATGGCGATGACGATGACGATGATTACGATCATGATGATGACACTCATGAAGATCATGATGAACATGTGCATGAGCATGATATGATGATGCTGACAATGATGATGATGATGATGCTGATGATGGTGGTGGTGGTGGTGGTGTTTTTGAGAGTATGATGATGATGACGAGACGACGCTGATGGTTATGATGAAGATGATGATGTTGATGATGATGATAATGGTGATGCGGATGCTGCTGAGGAGGATGACAGTGCGAAGGGGGGGAGGAGAATGATCATGCCGACGATGCTGCTGAGGATGGTGGTGGTGATGATGCTGCGGATGATTATGATGATGATGATGATGATGATGATGATGATGATGATGATCATGATCATGATCATGATCATGATCATGATGATGATGGTGATGGTGATGATGATGATGATGCTGCTGAGTATGATGTTGATGTTGATGATGTTTACGACGATGTTGACGACGCCGATGATGATCATGATGGTGATGATGATTACAACTATGATGACGATGACTGTGATGGTGACGATGTTGATGATGATGATGATGTTGATGATGATCATGATGGTGATGGTGATGATGATGATGATGACGATGATGATGATGATGATGATGATGATGATGATGATGATGATGAGTACGTTCCCGATGCTGATAATGATCATGGTGATGCGGATGCTGCTGAGGACAATGACACTGACAAGGGGAGGAGGATACTGATGCTGTTGATGGTGATGATAATGATGCTAGCGGTGATGATGATGCTGACGATGATGCTGAGTTTGATGATGATCATCACGATGCTGACGACGATGATGCTTATGATGGTGATGATGATGATGATGCTTACGATGACGATGACGGTGACGGTGACGATGATGGTGACAATGATGACGATGTTGATGATGTTGATGATGATACTGATAATGAACTTGGTATTGATGATGGTGATGATGATTATGATGATGTTGATGCTGATGATGATGCTGATGATGATGCTGATGATGATGATGCTGCTGATGATGATGATGATGTTGATGATGATGACGATGATGATGATTAACCGCATGCCGATGATAATAAAGGGACCCCCCCCGAGCGCTGAGGCCGAACTTCATTATCACCTCGAAACGCTATGTTGAGATAGCAACATCAAGCGATGTTGATATAGCAACATCAAGCGAAGCGATCACACTTTTTCAGGATGTCTCAAGCGAAACCGAAAATTTTGGGAGGCAGACTCAAACGAAACGAGCAATGTTTCAAGGATGTCTCAAGCGAAACCAAAAATTTTGGGAGGCAGACTCAAACGAAACGAGCAATGTTCCAAGGATGTCTCAAGGATGTTTCAAGCTAAACCAGCAAGTTGTTTCTTTTTATTTATGTTTTTACTATCTTCCTTTTTATATATATATGTATCTATCCCCGCGCGCGCCTGAACTTTTTTATCTCTGGGGTTGATTACCCATGGAAAGGGGAGCACATGAGCTACCCTACATGAGCACTTTAAAAAATCAATTTTCATAAAGCGCTTGTAAATTAAAATTGATAAATTTGGAACTTTCCATTTTTCCGTTCTTCTTCTCTTCTTCTTATTCTTTTCTTCTTCTCTTCTTATTATTAGTATATTTTCCTCTTCTTATTGTATATTTCTATATGTCCTCATGCTCGCCTGAACTTTTTTATCCCTGGGGTTGATTATCCATGGAAAATGAAGCACATGAGCTACCCTACACGAGCACTTAAAAAAATCGATGTTCATAAAGCGTTTGTACATTGAAATTGATAGATTTGGAACTTTTGATATTTTTCATCGTCCTCCTCTTATTATCCTCTTCTTCTTCTTTCTTATTATTCTTCTACTGTGTTCTTCTTCTTTTATATTTCTCTCTGTCCCCACGCTCGCCTGAACTTTTTTATTTCTGGGGTTGATTATCCATGGAAATTGAGGCACATGAGCTACCCTACGCGAGCACTTACAACAAAAAACAATTTGCATAAAGCGCTTGTAAATAAAATGTAATATATTTGAAACTCTAGATTTTTTCTTCTTTTCCTCCTTCTCCTCCTCCTATCATTTCTTTTATTGTATTCTTTATTATCTTTATTTTTCTTTTTTATATATAGCTTCCTCCATTCCTCCGCCCGCCTGAACTTTATTATCGCCGCCGTTGGTTATCTAGGGACGCCGAGGCGGATGAGCTATTCCGAGGATGTCTCAAGCGAAACAAGCATATATTCGAGAATGTTCGAAGCGAAACAAGCATATAGATGTCTGAAGCGAAACGATGCGTTTCTTAAGGATGTCTCAAGCGAAAACAGCAATTGCTCGAGGATGTCTCAAGCGAACCGAGAGGTTCGACGAGGTTCGACGAGAAACTAAACGCCAAGGATGTCTCAAAACGTGCTCGGCTTGGTCTCCTCTTGATCATCTCTTACTTCGAGATTATGCTGAGGTCTGCTGGGCTACTTTTATTATGTCTCCCTGAGCCCCGAACTTTATTATCCCCTAGTGTTTATTCTCACGGGCATGAGGTGATGATGATGATGATGATGATGATGATGATGATGATGATGATGATGATGATGATGATGATTACAGTGGTGGTGATGGTGTGGATGAGGGGGGGGTAGGAGGAGGAGGAGGAGGAGAAGGAGGAGGAGCCGCTACGCACGCAATTCATGCGCGGAGCCTTTCTTTCCATGGGTGCCCACTCCTTCCCCATTCGAGCACCTACGCAATGATGCCCGTAATGGCTACCAGAGACCATTTGCGAGTGAAACTCCCTGCCAGTCTACTTAGTCCCACTTGCCCCACTTGCCTCGTCCGCCGTACACAGCCGACAGCGAGTGGGGCCAGCGGGATCGAGTGGGGCAAGTTGGGCAAGTGGAACAAGTGGGGAGATTTCAAAGAACGAAAGGCGCAGCATGTCCCCTCGTGCATACAGCCGTATGCAGCCTTCTTACCGTTCTGGGACCGTGGTACCTGTGTGTGTGTGTGTGCTTGCCCTCATCCATGCGTGGCTGTTGTATTCATCAGTATCCGCCTGTTTGCATGCCTCCCAGTCCAAGCATCTAGAGATCAGTGTTGTCTCCCTGTACCTCTCCCTCTCTCGTTCCCTCTCTCTCTCTCTCTCGCTTTCAACATCGCATCCAATGTCTCCCATGTCTGGCCTTCCGGGCACATCGCTTGGCCCGGCTGCAGGACTCAAGAGGCAGGGTAAATGGTTGCCGCGGCGTGATGGTTCATTTGACCATCGAGATGGAGGCGCCGACATCGAATAACACTACTTTGAATTCTGCCCATTGGCGCTATTCATGCCAAATGCCAGTAGAAGGCAATCTCAACAACAAATCAATGTTCACGGTAATTATCCAACTCAGCAGGGCATGTGCTAAATGCATTGCTTCATCAGTTCGTTCTCTGTCACAACACTATCGTTTCACATTGCTACGCACACGGGTACCTCGTTATTTTATGGGTGTAGAGGGGGAGGCCTTCGGATGGTTGCATATTTGTCAGAGTAGTTATTCGCAATTTCGAGACCCCTTTGAGTGGAGGTTCGTTTTAGCTTCATTGTGTATTTAAGTTGGGTTCCAGGTGAGCCGTTGCGTCGAGTCGTCCCGTTGTGCGTCGGCATCTGAGTGGGCCACGATTAATCCCAGATTCGGGTCATCTTGCTCCCCACATGTTGACGAAACCGTCCTCATCCATTTCAGTTTCCGGCGTGTCAGAACCAAAGTTGTGACAGACGTTGTCCTTCTTGTTCGTCACCTTTGGCGCCGTCGTCCTCCTCATCCTCCTCCTCCAACTCCTCCTCCCTGTCCTCTCCATGCTCCGCCCTCGCCCTCCTCGCGCGGTTGGATGGAGGAAGTCATCCCCCCCAGCCTTGCACGACCCGAAGCCTGGGTGGCGAGAGGACTACTCGGAGGCAGCGTGTGCCTTGCACGTGGCGGGGCACGTGGCCCCAGCCGCGGGGGTGCCTCCAGCCATCGTGGCCCCGCCCCCGTCCGCTCACCGCCAAGGGCCGGGGCTTGCTCAAGGTGCCCCCGGCCCACGGTGCCCCCAGCTTGTCCCAGGAGGGAACAAAAACACACACAGACACAATCAATCGTCGGCTCCCAGGCAAATGTGTGAAACTATGGGAAGTGGGGGGGAAGACAGAAACCCAGAAAATACTAGGAAATATGGGGGGTAGTTTTATTTGTGAGTATTTCTTTGTTTGTCTTAGGGGCCCTTCATTGTCGCTCCACAGCATCCCGTGAATACGACGTGCATCCCACGTGAATCCGACGAACCCGATGTGAGTGTGCATCCTGCGTGCATTGGGCCCCAAGTTGCCGCACGGGGCCTCACGGATGTTCCCCATGAGGGTTCGGCATCGGCCCCGACATGTTTCAGGAGGGGAAACAACCATACAGAAAAAACCCATACAGACACAATTAATCGTCGATTCTCCTGAAAATATGGGAAAACATGGGAATGGGGGGAAGACGGAAATCCAGAAAATATGCGTGTATTTATTTGTGTGTCACAGGGCCCCTTCAATCTTGCTGTTCTGGATCCAGCCTGCCCCAGCCGCATCCCGCACAGCTCGGCTTTGCCCCTTGGGCCAGAAGGGCCTCTTTTTTTGGCTCCAGGCCTCTAAGGTGGGGTCGGAGTAGACTGGGTCGGAGGATCGCGCCACATCGCCGATGCATCGCCGATGCGGCGTGATGTGGAGCCCGACTTTCTCAACGCCGACGGCGCCGAGGCATCGCCGATGCATCGCCGAGGCATCGCCGACGCATCGGTGATGCGGCGCGACCCTCCGACCCCATCCGGGAGGCCTCCAGAATCCCGCTCGCCTCCGCCGAGCTTGGCCCCTGGGCCAGCTAAGGGCCCCTCCGCGGCGCGCGGAGGCCCCTCCCCGGCGCGGGCAACGCCGCCGCCCCGCGGCGCGGCAGGGCGCGCGCCGCCGCGCGGCAGGGCCCCGCCGGGCGGCCCCTGCCGCCGCGCTTCGGCGCCCGGAGCCCTGGCGCCGTTGGCGCGGCGCCCGCGGGCGAGCCGCGGCGCCCGCGCGCGCGCGGCCGCGGGCCGACGCCCGGGCTCCGTTGGACGACGACGACGACGACGACGACGGCGACGACGACGGTGACGACGACGGCGACGACGACGATGGCGACGACTTTGGCGGCCACGATGACGGCGGCGGCGGTTCGTCGTCGTCGTGGTCGTGGTCGTCGTCGTCCGACGGAGCTCGGGCGTGGGCCCGCGGCCGCGCGCGCGCGCGCGTGGGCGCCGTTGAGCGGGAACAACTCTGCGGGCGCGTGGGCGGAATTCCGCGCGGCCCTCGGCGGAGGCACATATATATAGTATAATGTATCTGTATAAGTATTAATGTTATATGTATGTATATATATATATATATGTGTGTGTGGGCGATCGGAACCCCTGGGGCACACGTCATACTGCCCGTCCATGGGCTGCCCACCCCTCGGGCCTGCCTCCTCCGCCGAGGTCATGTCACCACCGACGGAAGACGACCCTGTAGTAAGATTAGTCATGTTTTTAGTGCCGCCTTTGTTCGTTCGAGGACGTCTCCCGACCACAAGTGGCCAAGTCGTTGCCTGGCGCACAGCAGCGCAGCAATATGTGTATTATGGTAGACGGTTTCACCCCGCTTGCCAGCACCGCTCTGCCGTGCACGGGTTTCTCTTCCTCTCGCCAGGGAAGGGGCGAGGAGGAAGGGGGTGTCATTGATGCCGGTGACATTGCAGTGAGGAAAGACACCCCCGACCCGCATGATTGGCGTTTACTAAGCGGCCCTGGGCATTCACTGAACCGCCTTGCCCTGCTCGATTTCTTTCCTGCTCGATTTCTTTCATGGGTGAGTCTACTAGACGGCTTCGCCTGTCGGGGTGATTCTGATGGTGACGGTGTTTTCCCTGCCCTCTGTCAGCGGCAGCCCTGGGGGACATTGAGAAGGGTTCGGGTTTCTCAGAAGGTTCGGATGCTCTCGGGCCTTGTGAGAAGTGTTCTAAGCCTTGCCCGAAGACACCGAAGACTTCCCAGAAGGTCGGAGGGCTTCTGGTAAGCCCCGCCGCCCTCCTGAGAAGGCCTCCTCCTTCCCACCTCGTTGCCCCCGGGCGCGCCGCCGACTCCAGAGACCTTGATCGACCGTGCCCCGCCCCCATAACATCGACGACGATGACGACGACGACAATGACGACGGCGATGACAATACAGTGAAAACATGTAGTAAGGACGCGTGGTAAGGACGCAAGACCCTTGGAGGCCGAAGTTGATGTATTCTGGCCTGCGGAAATTGCTAGGGACGGTCCGCAGAGGCTGAGGCAGGCAAGGACCCAAGGGTACCCTTGAAAAAGTAGTTTGTCCTTACTATGCGCGTTGATTGTAACGCTGTCGTCATCATTTGTCGTCGTCCTCGCCATCCTCCCCCGCCAGGGCTCGAACGGCGAGGACCTGGTCCTGGCGCACCTCGGCGCGGCGCCCCCCGACAGCGCAGGGGTGCGCGCGGGGGCCGCCCGTGCCCCCCGAGGGGATGGCGGGGGGCGTTTTGCCGCGTGCGCCCGACCCCGGCGCCCCAGAGCTCTGCCTCCTGGTCCTCCGCCTCCTCCTCCTCTTTTTCTTAGCCAGGCCGCCAAGCGCGCACGCTGAGGCGTCAACTCCTCCTCCTCCTCCTCCTCCTCCGCCTCCTCCTCCTCCGCCTCCTCCTCCTCCTGCTCCTCCTCCTCCTCCTCCGCCGCCTCCTCCTCCTCCTGGTCCTCCTGCTACTCCGCCTCCTCCTCCTGCGCCTCCCCCTCCTCCTGCTCCTCCTCCTCCTCCTCCGCCTCCTCCTCCGCCTCCTCCTCCGCCTCCTCCTTCGCCTCCTCCGCCTCCGCCTCCTCCTCCTCCGCCTCCTCCTCCTCCGCCTCCTCCTCCTCCTCCGTGTGCGCTTTTTGGCTGGCGAGGACCATCCCAGAGCCTCCCGAGCCTTGGAGCAGAAATGACACGCACGCGAGCGGGGAGTGGACGTCCGGGCGGCAGCAAGAGAGGCGTGCCAAGGTCTCCCCGTCGGGCGGGTAGTAGCACTGGGTGGTGGCCTACATGGGAGGCGACGAACACAAAGGACCCTGAAGGGGCCCTTCAGGGCCCCCGCTGGCCTCAAGAGGGGCCCTGAAGGATCCCTTCGGGGGCTCTTTCTTCACCTCGCATGTATAGCTCACCCCCCATTGCCACCCGCCCGACCTTGCCCCGCCGTGCAGCAAACTCGCGGATCTGCGTTTTTGCACAGTGGGAACCCACGCCAAGGAACACCCTGCTTGCCTCCAGGGCGCCCTGGGTTTCTTGGGCTTCGATGGTTTTGCGACCGAAGTCGTGACGCCCATACCAAAAACCAATGGACGTCCTGCGGTCTGAGGGTTGTTTTTGTTGTGAAGGTTTATTGTGGTCGAGCTCCTCATCCTCCTCCTCGTCCTCCTCTTCCTCCTCCTCCTCTTCCTCCTCCTCCTCCTCCTTCCCCCCTCCTCGTCCCCCTCCTCCTCCTCCTCCTCCTCCTCCTCCTCCTCCTCCTCCTCCTCCTCTCCTCCTCCTCTTCCTCCTCCTCCTCCTCCTCCCTCCCCCGTCCTCCTCCTCCTCCTTCTCCTCCTCTTCCTCCTCCGCTTCCTACTCCCCCTCCCTCCCCCCTCCCTCCTCCTCCTCCTCCTCCTCCTCCTCCTCCTCATCCTCATCATCATCATCATCATCATCATCATCATCATCATCATCATCATCATCATCATCATCATCATCATCATCTTCCTAGCGGGTGCTCATGGGGGGTGGCCCAAATGGGGGGTGAAGGGAAAAGCCCTAGAGGGGCCCTTTGGAGCCCGTTTGGGAGCCAGCAAGGGCCCCAAAGGGGCCCAAAATGGGCCTTTGAGGTCCCTTTTCTCCACCCCCGATTTGGGTCACCCCCCATTTAGCACCCGCCCGCGAGAGGGGTCCGGGAGTAGATCGCCGCGCCCCAGGACCCCGTCAAGAGGCGACCCAGGACGAACGACTGATCTTGAGGGAGGGGGCCCCAGAGGGCCAGGACCCGTTTCCCCCGGGGCCTTGCCCTGCCAAGCCAATAGCCACGCATGGAAGCGGCATTGGACCCTCGCGCGGGGCTGGAGGAGCCCCGCTAATAAGCAAATTGGCGACAACGGGCGCCACCAGGGGGAAGAGGGGGCGGGCAACGTGTTACGGTCGGATCCGGGTACAAAAATGAGATCCGTCCGGGGAGGGGGCCCTTTATAATGTTTTTCGTGGTTGTGGAATGTTCTTGTGCATTCCAGGGGAGGGTACCCCGGAGTGTTTTTTCACTTGGCCAAGTGCGGGTCGCATGTTCTTGGAGGATGTTCTTCTGTCCTGGGTCCGGCCGCACCGCCCTTCTCGCCTGCCCGAGAGTCCCCAGGCCGTGGCGGCGCGAAGCCTGAAGTTATTGGGTTTTTTTTGCTAGGTCGTGAATGCCAGCAGCGCAAGATTGCTGGAGCGACCATCGCTTTGAAACGAATCTATTCTGGCCTCCACCCGCACTCGCGCGAAACTTCCGCACGAGTGACTCAGTCGTCGAGGCGAGGAGTGGGGTACATGCAGTATGCAGTTAACTGGGGGGCGGCAGATTGGATGAACGTCAGTTGAGACAACGGCGGTTCTTCCGCAGGGCTCGGATTTGCGCAACATCGATTCCCAGACCCCTCCTGGGGTCCATCTTGACCCGCTTCTGTTGGGGCGGATCCAGCCTCGTCGATGAGAGGCTTCCGGGAGGCCCAAACACCGCGAAAAACGCCATGGAGGGCTGCCGTGGTCTCGACTGGCCCCCATCGGACGCGCGTTCTCGCGAATAGTTGAGAGATTGAGCAAAAGGTGACCCGCTTGACGTGCGGAGAGGTGCGCAGAGTCAGCCCGCACAGTGGGGACGAGCAGCTTTCCAAGGTCACCTTTGCATCCTGCCTCTTCGGCCCATCCTCGGCCGCTTTCGCTGGCCGCTTCCCGCTCGCAGGGTGCCGGCATGGCCTTCTAAGGCCTCTGCATCTCTGTCGTGCGTCCTGACTGCACGGGTTGACTGTAGCCCCGCCTCGCGCTGCCGGGGAGGTGAGCGCCAGGGGTGTGCGGAGACCGTAGTGGGTTCCCGAAGCCGCAGTGCCGTTTTTCCAGTGTTTCCGAAAACGTGTCTCTTGGAAATGGAAGCGGTAGCCAAATCGGCAGCCGGAAACGGCAAAAACACGGCTCTTGGAGCCGAAGCCGAAGCCGGCAAAAGAGCGGCGACGGAACCGGAAGAAACGGCGCGGGACCGGCAAGCAAAAGCAAACCGAACCCGTATCAAAATCGGCTTTGTTGTTTCCAGGGCCCACTAAAGCCGATACCACGGCCGTTAGCATGAGTCAGAGGAGCAATACATCAATCTGAGTCCAAGTTTCAAGGTTTCGAGGTTCTCTTGTTGCCCCGCGTGGCCGCAGACGAGTGGCCAAGTAGGAATGGCCGAGGGCGGCTAGAGACTCCTTCATCCCCAGAACGTGTCCTGAGCCAATCGCATCATGGCGTTGCAGTCGACACTGATCCTAAGGATTATCGACTTCCTGCGGGTAGCCATGCATCCTTGCATCTTCGGTCATTTTCGGTCCATTCTCAACCACTTCCTATGACCAGCCCCGTTCGAAAAAGAGTCGGCATGGCCTTCCAAGGCCCTTGCATCCTCATCTCGAAGAAGAAAGGCCACCATAAACATAAACTTTTGGCGCTCTGCGTGGATTTCTTGGATCCGCGCTGGGCCCCCCCAGTGGCGCATCCGGCGCCGCCCCTGGCGCGCTCCGCCCGCCGGGGAGCGGGGTCCAGCGAAGATCCAAGAGATCCGCGCGGAGCTCTAAAAGTTTATGTTTATGCCGTGTTATAATGTTTCCATTTTCGTGCATCTTCACCATCAGTTTCGCTTGTACCAGCGTCCACCTGACATCCTCCAGGCGTCAGGACGTTTTTGCCTTCAGACTTTCAACGCGCCCCCTGGCCCGCCTTCGTCCGCGCACCTGTGCTTCGTTCGTGTCATGATGCGCCCACCCCGCTCTTCTCCCCCCCTCTTCGCCGCACCCCGTCGAGATTGACGAGGCTGCAGATTCGAGGTGTCTGGGCTCTCTCCGGCTTTCTCTTCTTTGGCTCCCGCGGGGCTCCCCACGGCCGCGGATGGATTCCCCTCGGGATTCCGGGCAGATGGCATCATATGGGCGATCGAGGGCCTCCAGCGTCGCGAGGGGTCGTGTTTTTTTTGTTGTTCGGCGATGTCGGCGCGTGGGGGCCTTGGGACAGAGAACGAACAGTGGCCCTTCCTCTATTCCCCCCCTCTGCCGCTTGGGATACGCCTCCGCAAGACAAAAACGTTCCCTTTCGAAGAGACGCGCATGAAAGAAAGGTGGCCCGCGACGACAGCCGAGCGAGCCGGGTCTCACGACGGAATTGGGGCGCCGAAGGCGCTGTGACGTAATTCTGAAGGCCAACGGGTGATACGTGGTCATCTGCACACCTAGCCAAGTACAGACGGGTTACATCCGTCGAAGACTGTTGTATGACCAGCGTCGATCACCGGCGAGCATCGGAAATCATCGACGGCCACGGACGATCACACCATGCCGTAGTCGTGGGCTTGCTGGTGGATGATGATTGTTGATGGGTCAGATGCGGGCATCACCAGGCTGGCCTCTATGGCTGATATGTCTGCCAGTGACGGTGTCACCATTCCGATTTAATCATGGTAGTGGGCGTTGTTGATATTTCTCTTTCGTTTGAGTATATCGGGTCACAATGTCTCTGCCAGCGTCCCGACATCAGTTGCACGATGCCACTACTTGGATATGTTCCTACGCATCTGGTTTAGCTACAACTTGGGAATGTGAGTAACTGTGAATCCTCTTACGTAACCCCCGTAGCCACAGATCCAAAACGGGCAACAGCTTTCACGATGCATACGCACGTAACGCATTGGCTGCATTGGTTGCATTTTTTGCGCTCCAATTGACACCCCTTTCTATCAAAATGCGCTGCACCACCACGTTGAAGACGTTGAGTACGAGGCCGTGCTTCCTTTGAAGTGCGTATCTCTTGCTCAAAAGACTGCTCTGCTCGGTAAACTGCAACCGCCCCGATGCTGGTCAAACACCAGTTGCGCCGCCGCTGGACATGCGGGCCTTCAGCTCGCTCCGCGTCTTCGTTGTTTCCTTGCTTTCCTGGCCTGGATCGTCGGCGGAGCCGTAATCTGAAGCCCCTCCAGGTCCACCCGTGGGTTGTTAACATTCATATATTTTCAATTTCAGATTGCGTGTCCCTTCTCGCCAGTGGATCCACACACGTGGCCGCCATGTCCACATGTGAGTTCGGTTCCCCCCCGAGCAGCTCCCGGAATGCCGCACACTCGATACAAGCACCTTCTTACCGTTCGGTGTGCCAGCATTTGCCGAGATTGGTCGGAGTGCATTGGATTTCGAGTGTTGAGATTCGGTCGAGTCACTATTCCAGCCGTCTGGTGGCCAGTGGTGCACAGGACCCCGTTACTCCAATGTGATTGATGGCACAGCAACAACATGATACCAACTGTCGGATATGCAATGTAATTGGTTTGGACACAGCTTGCATCCCTGGCTGGCCTCGAGGCCACTTGCCCGCGGTAAACGGGGCTCCCGAGTCGGCAACGTCGCACGTTGTACATACGCCAAGCGCACACGTGCAGAACTTCACACACACACACATCCTGTATTGATTGCACCCCATGTGCTATCATTCAATCTACGTCAGCGCCAGCCGTATTCGCTTGGTGACCGTTTAGCATCCATCCAACAATGACGATGTTGCGCGTGGTACGGGGAACATGAGGAGACCGCAGCCTGATTATGCCGCTCCCACAGGAGACATTGCCAGCGTATGATAAAAACAAGGTTTGTTTGATTGCAGTCTTTGGAGCTAAAGGAGTAGCGGGGCACACGATCCCTTGCGTTTGGGTATAAGGGTTGCTAACAACAAAACCATGCTGACGGTCGACAGTATGTTCTGATGAGCCTCGACGATCGGTCGCTGCCGACAAGGAGCACAGTATGGAAGCGATCATGACATACCACGACGCCCAAGCTGACGTCAGCCAGACCTTTGAGCGGGAGTGGCCATCTCAGGGACTCGTGTGGTGTGGAGCCTGGGGCAGTTCGCATCACTCCAGATCGGGGATGCTTAACGTGCGGATCTCCTTTTCGGCGCCGCGTGTTCATTGGACTCCAGGTGGTGTATACACTGGAAGCATGAGTGGCGTCGCCCAATATTACGTCATCTGTTCAGTGGCCAAGGTGTCCGAAGCAGCAATGCGCTAAGATTGTCTTACCCCTGATCGCGGGATCTCGCTGAGGGAGGTTCACGCATCTTGTTGGATCCCAAATCTTGGTGTCAGAACAACCGTCAGATGTCTTAGAGCGGTTCTGGTTTAAATGCATGGCCACGATGGCCAAATGCATGTTTGCACGACGTTCGCATGGCTTCATCAACCTCTCGCATGCATCAGCATATTTATGCGCCTTCTCGCTGCAGACCGCAGATTTATCAAACAGGTGCGGCGTTGCAACGGTATCAGTTCAGACTAGTTGTGAATCATCATCTTTCTATCTCTCTCTCTCTCTCTTTCTCCCCCCCGCTTTAACGCTCTGCGCATGTCTAGAGACACAATCCTGTCTCGCCGTATCCCGGTTTCTCGCCCTTTATGTATGTCAGAGTGAGGGGGCCGAACGGTCATTCATTGTCCTTGGGCACGTGGCTGAAGTGAGAATCCGTGTTGAGGATTCTCACCCCGCGACCCACCCGCGACCCACCCGCGATCAACCTACTTGCGACCCACCCGCGACCCACCCCGCGACTCACCCGCGACCCACCCGCGACCCACTTGCGACCGATCCACATTGGTTTGAAGAACAATCTGCGCCTGCGGCGGGCTCGTTGTATATTTTGTGAAACGTTGGCGCTTGCGGCGAGCTTTTCCAGAGTCTCGCACACTGCCGACGTCCCAATCGCTCCCTTACTCTTCTCCGCATTTGCGCGGCGGTGCTACGTTATTTCTTTTTTTGTTTCTCTATCTCTCTCTCTATATATATGTGTCTCTCTCTCTCTCTCTCTCTATATTTCTCCCTCCCTCTCTCTCTCTCTCACACGCTCTCTCTCTCTCTCTCTTTCTCTTTCTCTTTCTCTGTTTCTCTTTCTCTCTCTCACACTTTCTCGTTCTCTCTCTCTCTCTCTGTATATACATATATATGTGTATCCTCTCATTCCCTGTACGTTTTCCACACATGTCCAAATACATGTATGTATGTCGGTATATCTAGGTCTATCCGCAGTGGCGATATTTCTGTTGCACTATTGCTATGATCTCCCCTCCTTCCCCGCTTGGCTCCGCCATCAGGGCACCAGTCTTGCCATGTGATTATATTGATGTGTGGCTTCTCTGCCATTCTTTGCAGCAGAGCCTCCAGTATTCATCCCGAATAGGTGGTCACAATGAACGCGAGGAAAACAGAAGCGGTTCGACCCCTTTCTTTCGCGTGTTTGGAATGAGTTGTGCAGGAGGGGAGTTGACAGAAGGGTGAGAAGGGTGATGGCAATGATGATGATGATTATGATGATGATAATGATGCCCATGATTATAATTATGGAGGTGATTGTGACGACGCTCAGGATATGGATGTTGATGAGGATGCGGATGAAGATGAGGATGACGATGACGATGACGATGATGTTGACGATGATGTTGACGATGATGTTGACGATGATGATGATGATGCTGATGATGATGATGATGATGATGCTGATGCTGATGCTGATGCTGATGCTGATGCTGATGCTGATGGTGGTGGTGATGGTGATGGTGATGGTGATGGTGATGATGATGATGATGATGATGATGATGATGATGCTGATGATGATGATGATGCTGATGCTGCTGATGATGATGATAATGATGACGATTATGCTGATGCTGCTGCTGATGCTGATGATGATGATGAAGAAGATGAAGATGAAGATGATGATGATGATGATGATGATGATGATGATGATGATGATGATGATGATGATGATGATGATGGGCATGGTGATTTGTGATTGGTGATAGTGGTGGTTATGGTGATTGGCGATGGTGATGATGATGATGATGATGGTGTTGGTGGTGGTGATGGTGATGGTGATGGTGATGGTGATGGTTATGGTGATGATGATGATGCTGATGATGGTGATGTTGCTGGTGATGGTGCTGACCCTGCTGCTGATGATGATGATGAATATATGATGAAGTTATGATGATGCTGATGCTGATGAGGAGGAGGAGGAGGGGACTGCACAGTAGAGGAGGACAGGAGTTACGAGTTGGAACGATCAGCAGGGGGATCAGGGTGATGCTGAGGGAAAGGGAGCAGGTATGCAAGAGTCGGGGCGTTGTTGATTCCCTCTCCCTCTTTGTCTCTGGTTTCCTCTCTCTCTCTCGCTGTCCCTCTCCCTCTCCCTCTCTCTCTTTTTCTCTCTGTGTGTACCATGCGTACTTTATGCAAATCCTTCGCTCATTCAGGATGACCATATCTCATCCTTTGTGTGTGGTGGCTCGTGGTCAGCGAGAGTTGTCTGGAAGGCAGCAAGTTCAAAAGCGTTCTTGTTTGAGTTTCGGTTGCGATGTGTTTGTTGGAGCATCCTGAGGGCATCTGGTGGGGCTCTTGGACCGTTTGAGGCATCTTCTCGGGGTGCTTTCTGTTGGAGTTGTGAAGCGTGGTTGGGGTGTAGGGCAGACGCGTCTAGATCTATCTTAGGGTGTCTTCGGGTGAGCTCGGGGGGGGGATGCATCGGCCCCCAATCGCCCATTGATCGCCGCTAGGGGCCCAAGAGCCCCAGCCTGCCCAAGAACGCCGTGGGGACTCACCAGCGGGGGCCTGTCCCCGATCTGCCGGCGATGTCTCGCCGATTCCAGTTCGATGTTTCCCAAACTCCCACACCTCAGGAGGAAAAGAAACACACAGACACAATTAATCCTCGATTCCTCAGAAAATATAGGAAAATATGGGAAGTGGGGGGAAGACAGAAACCCAGAACATATGGGAAAATATGGGGCATCTTTTTATTTGTGTGTATTTATTCGTGTGTCCTGGGGCCCCTTCAACACCCCCTTGTGCCACCCCCCCCCCTGTCTCAGGCGATCGCAAACACGGATCAAGGGGGCGTGGATTAGCGACGGGCCTCGTTTCTTAGGGAATCTCGCATTGCCGCCGCCGCACGAGGGGGCACCGGCCGCACTTTGGGGAGGGCACCTCTCCCGATCCATGGATTCGGCGACCGCGCTGCAAATCCCTGGATCGCTAATTCGTGCTTGCGCGCCCCCGACTATCGTTGAGCTCCCCCCGCTGGCTCCAGGTCACCCCCAGGGGAGCCATAAGGAGGCCGCGCTCCTTGAGCGTTGCGTCAGGGGGGGGTCATGCATGGGGGGGGGCCGAGCGTGGTCCCAAAAAGGTGCCCAAACGGTACCCAGAAGAGCCCCCCATGGGGCTCCGGAGGGGCCCGAAAAAGGAACACGAAAGTCGGGCCGGGCGAAAGGGAGGGATTGGGAAAGGGGGGGTTACGAAGTTTGCTGCATGCAGCTGGTTTCGGCCTCACCGAGGGGCCCATTCCTCGATACATGGGCGCCTCCCGGCGCCAGGAGGCGCCGGGAAAATCAGCTACGTGAGCTGATTCTCAAACCCCCCCTTTGCTATCCCCCCCTTTCGCCCGACCCGAGAAAGGGGGCCGTTCTTGACCCCCCCCATGCGTGACCCCCCCCCCCCCAGTCAGCCACGCCCAAGCTCCTCATGCCCGAGGAGTTCGGGGGGCCCCCCGGCCTCTCGCGAGGGAATGGCGACCCGGGGGGGGGGGAGCCCAGGAGGGGCGCGCGGTCGCTCCGCCTGCCGGGCGGCGAGATTGGTACGTACCAATCTCGCCGCCCAATTGAATGGTACGTACCAGTCCGGATGGCCAGCAATGCTCTGCATACGCACAATTGAAGATCAATCAACGCAAGACTTTCCCATACAAACCTTGTATTTCCCAACATACATGTTATATGATATGAATACGCTCTTATTTTAAGAACTATCAGACCTCAGGGACGCGGCCACCGCCCCAGGGCCAGTCGGCGGAGGCTAAGTCTAGAGAGCCCAGAGCTCGCTAGGGTGAAGTCGGGCCAGGGGGGAATCTTCAAACATGGGCAGAAACAGTCTGGGGGCGAGTTCTTGACCATTTTTTGAGTTTTTGAATTCACATGTTCTGACTCATTTTCATTGTTCGTCCAAAATCCGCCTGTCGGGTGACATGCCCGACCTAAAGCTAGGGAGTGGCCCCCAAAGACGAGAACCTGTCAAAACCCTCCCGAGAGCCCCCGAAAAGCCTCCCGGACCCCGTTCCTGGTGGGTTTTCGGAAGACCCCTTTCCTTCGGTAGCATATAATGGGAGCCTTGCGTACCCCGCAATTCTGTCTTCAGCGTCGATTGGCGTCGATTAGCGTCTGGGAGTCGGTGAGATGAGATAGCCCCGATATAGCGTCGGTTAGTGTCGATTTAGCGTCAACCAGCGTCGATTCGCAAGAGCCGACGAGATGGTATGGGAGGCTCCCATGAGTTTCCACCGAACTTTCCTTCCCCCATCGGCTGGAGGCGACGCTACCAGGACCGTGTGAGTTCCAACACTGTTTGGACGGCCAGCGAGCCCCACAGCATGAGCAGACAGGGGTTGCCCTTCTTTGCAGGAGTGAATCGGCGGTGAGCGACGGGGGGAAGTGAGACGGAGTGGGCCTTCTCAGAAGGTTCGGAAGTCTCCCGGCCTTCTGAGAAGTTTCTTAAGCCTTCCCCGAAGACACATCATACTTCTCAGAAGGCGCGAGGGGTTCTGAGAAGTCCCGCCGTCTTCTGAGAAGGCCTTCTCCTTCTCAGTCCCCCCCTCGCTCGCCGCCAAGTGAAGGAGAAGTAGGCCAGACAGTCGATGACAATACTTTAGCCTTCCGTGCCAGGGTTCGGTTCCCGTCGCCTTCCGACCTCTCCGATGCGCTGTCTGATCTAAGGGAACGACAAATGGCGCAACGCGGAGCGCGCCAGGGGCGGCGCCGGAGGCGTCGCCAGGGGGCCCCAGCGCCGATCCGAGAAATCCGCGCGGACCTCCGAGTTATTATGTTTATGTCACTACTCGTTCCCCTTTATCTTTGGTCGGGCATGTCCCCCTACAGGCCGATCGTGGACGAGAAATAAAAGATAGTCACGAGCCACAACATACTCAAACATAATCCCAAACTATCCCCGGCTTGACCCTCATCTTATCTCATATCTGCCACTTCTTCCATTTTTCCCACGGCCTCCTCGTGCCGTTCCCTTCCTCTGTGCCTAGCCCCACGCTCGCCGTCCCGCCCTCTGCCGCCGTCGCGCCCGCCTCGTCCCCAGGGCTCCAGCCTGACCACGCCCCAGCCCGGCCCGGGCGGGCGTGTGGCAGCCAAGGGCGGGGGCCCCAGCTGCGCGGCGGGGTGGTGTCTCGCCCGGGAGGAGGTGGCGCTCACGGGTGGGCCAGTCGAGGCGTCGGCGGCGCGATGGGCCCCTCCCGCCCTCCCTTCCTCTCTCCTGACCGCCGACGTCTCGATTGGCCAGCCTTCGAGGGTCCGCAGGCCTGACCTTTCAGCCAACGCGTTTCCGCAAGGCAGCGAAGAGGATCGCGCCTCGCGCATCGCGGCCCGGGCTGGAGAGGGGCCCGTCTCCAGGGCGGCGGCGTGAGTGCGCGAAGGTAACGTTACGCATCGCCGGGCGCGATGCACAAGGTTGGGTGACCTAGAACCTAGATGCCTCAACTGACCATCTCTGGTCCGCAGGCCTGACCTGCCAGACGGCGGACGCCTCTGTGCGCCTCCTCCTCCTCCTCCTCCTCCTCCTCCTCCTCCTCCTCCTCCTCCTCCTCCTCCTCCTCCCCTCGGCCGTGTCCCGCTCACGTCAGTCACGGGGGCAGGTGCACGGACCCGGGCCTCCCGAGATGCGCAACCGCTTCCTGGCAGCAGACGCACCACGATCGAGACGCACGTGCCTTCTCGTGTGCACCGCAGCGCGAACGACTTTACCCTGGACGGGGCACGTATCAGGGGGATGGTGATTTACCTTCCGCCAGAGCTTGACCGTCTCCCCCCGTCCTCCTCCTCCTCCTCCTCCTCCTCCTCCTCCTCCTCCTCCTCCTCCTCCTCCTCCTCCTCCTCCCTCTCCTCCTCCTCCTCATTCTATTCCTCCCCCTCCTCCTCCTCCTCCACCTCCTCCTTCTCCTCCTCCTCCTCCCCCTCCTCTTTCCCCCATCTCCTCCCCTTCCACGAGCCCACCCTCTACACGTTCCGACAGCAAGTGCCAAACCGCCCCCGCGGATCCAAGGACGGGTGGCGATGTTTGCCCCATTCAGAGTGCGCTACGACGTATTATGCCATTGCTACTAATTGTGTTGTTGTTAGCATTTACTGCTTCAACTACTGCTTTACTACTGGTAGTCCTCTGCTGCTGCTGCTGTTGCTGCTGCGCACTCGGACTGCTACCAGAGTCGTTGCTGTTTATCCAGCTGCCTGCGGCAACCCCCGCCTCCCGTGCAGTAGCGCAGCGGGAAGGAGACTCTGTGCAGGAAGAGCGCAGTTCCGACGACTGGTCACGCTGGAAATGGGCAGGCCCAACGGCGACTTCGGGTCGGAACGAGGTGGCCCGGTGGGTAGTCAGTCTCCAAGGGGAACGTCGGGAGGAGATGGGCCTCGACCGCCAATCGCCCATTCGTCGCCGATGGGGGCGCCAGCGCCCTGCCCCGCCCAGGACGGTGAGGCGCCGCTGTCGGGGGCCCCTCGCCGGTCTATCGGCGACGCATCGCCGACTCCAGCTCGATGCTTCCCCTCTTGAGCCAGTGCCTGCCCCCAGCGCCTCCCCTCGCAGCAGTCTCTGGGCCTCTTGCCGTCGACTGTCCTCGGGGCGCGTGCCAGTGCAGCGGATGCTGACCCCGTTCGGCCCGTGCTGGCCGCCGGCCTGGAGGGCCTCGGTGGGACAGCACACGCCGGCGCCGGCGCGCGTTCTGAGGACGACCGAGGCTGTAGCGCGCGCGCGCGTGGAACCTCCGAGGCGGGGCCGGCAAGAGGGACGGCAAGCTGGCCCGCGGCACCTCCAGCATCGGAGGAGAGCGCCCCGTCGTGCGCCGTGGGCCGCGGCCTCCGCGGCCGTCCGCCTCCTCCTCCTCCTCCTCCTCCTCCTCCTCCTCCTCCTCCTCCTCCTCCTCCCCCTCCTCCCCCTCCTCCCCCTCCTCCTCCTCCTCCTCCCCCTCCTCCCCCTCCTCCCCCTCCTCCTCCTCCTCCTCCTCCTCCTCCTCCTCCTCCTCCTCCTCCTCCTCCTCCTCCTCCTCCTCCTCCTCCTCCTCCTCCTCCTCCTCCTCCTCCTCCTCCCCCTCTCCCCCTCCTCCCCCTCCTCCTCCTCCTCCTCCTCCCCCCCCCTGCCCCTTCTGCATCTCCCTCCCCCCTCCGCCGCGGCCTCCGCGGCCTCCGCGGCCGCGTGCGAAGGCGGCGGCCCCTCCGCCAGAGCGGCCGCCGGTCCCGGGCGCGCTCACGCCGTGCCTCGGAGGCGAGCTCTGGGCCTACTCGCAGCGTGCCTGCTGGCAAAGTGCCTGCTCGCAAGCGTCTGAAGGACCCTGCGTCTGCCTCGGCGTAGCGAGTCGTGGAGCGCGCCTGTCGAGGGAGACGGCAGCCCTCGCGCCCTCTGGGAAAGTTTCGGAGCCCTCCCAGAAGAGACAGGCGGCTCCCCAGAGGGCACGTGCCAGGGCTCGAGGCCAGATGCTGTCTTTGTCGGCGATCCCGTGGACCGTTTTCGTTTCGAGTTCGTTTTGCAGCAAGGCTTGGCATCGCTCGGACGTGTGCGTTTTTTCCTCGGCGAGGACCATCGAGGAGCATCCTTGATCATTTGGCGATGAAGCCACGCACGACACCGAACAAAACACAGGTAATGGACGTCCGAGCGATGGCGAGAAGGGCGGAGCGACGAGGACGGAGCGAGGGACGAGGCGGCTACGAAGCGAGAGCGGAAGGCGCGGCTCGGCTCGAGCCCCGGCGAGAGCTCCCGACGAGGAGCCCCGCGGCCCTCTGCGCAGGCCTGCCGCTCCTCGCTGCCCCCCACATGGACTCGCCGCCGAGCGGCAACACGTCACCACGGGCGGCTTGTGCTCTCAGTTCCCGGCCTCGGGGAGTCCTCCTCCCCCTCCTCCCCCTCCTCCTCCTCCTCCTCCTCCTCCTCCTCCCCCTCCTCCTCCTCTCCTCCTCCTCCTCCTCCTCCTCCTCCTCCTCCTCCTCCTCCTCCTCCCCTTTCCCCTCCCCCCCCCTCCTCCTCCTCCTCCTCCTCCTGCTCCTCCTCCCCTCCTCCTCCTCCTCCTCCTCCTCCTCCTCCTCCTCCTCCTCCTCCTCCTCCTCCTCCCCTTTTCTGCTCGCCCCTCGACGAGACGAGGACAAATTCGAGAGGATGAGCTGGCCCCGGAAGAGTTTAGTGGCGGTCGCTCTTGCCCCGGGGCCACTCGTGGGCGCGGCCGATCCTCGCAGACCAGACCCCCCCCTACATCAGGAGGGGAAAAACACACACACAGACACAATTAATCGTCGATCCCCCAGAAAAGATGGGAAAATATGGGCAGTGGGGCGGAAGACAGAAACCAATAGAATATGGGAAAATATGGGGAACATTGTTTATTTGTGTGTAGTTCTTTGTGTGTCCTGGGGCCCCTTCACTACAGTCAACCCGCACGATGAGGATGGGCAGCCCCCCCGAGGGTACCCTTGGTATCCCCGCCTCCTCGGGCCCTCCTCGGCCGCCTTCGTTGGCCGCGCCCCGCTCGCAAAGCGTCGGCATGGCCTTCCGAGGCCCTTGCATCCTTATCGTGCATCCTTACGATAGGGGAACAAAAAGTGGCATAAACATAAAAAGTCGGAGGTCCGCGCGGATTTCTCGGATCGGCGCTGGGGCCCCCCGGCGGCACCTCCGGCGCCACCCCTGGCTCGCTCCGCGCGCCAGGGAGGGGGGTCCAGCGCCGATCCGAGAAATCCGCGCGGACCTCCGAGTTTTTATGTTTATGTCATTTTTTGTTCCCCTATACGATGCGGGTTGACTGTACCCCGCGGGCCACCAAGTCGCGATTCCTCTTACGGTCGACCCGCATAGCAAGGATGGGAAAATTTCCTGGGAATACCCTTGCATCACTGCCTCCTCGACCTCTCCTCGGCCGCTTCCGCTGGCCGCGCCCCGCTCGAAGAGCTTCGGAATGGGCGTCCAAGGCCCGTGCATCCTTATCGCGCATCCTTATGAGACGGGGTGACTGCACCCCCAGTGGGACACCAATTCTGCAGGGTTGTGACGGGCGCTTTCTCAACACGTCGCAGCGCCCTTACATCATTCGCCGCGCAGGTGGAAGCATACGGTTGCTTCCGCAGCGTTGTGCCTCGTGGGCATGCGCCTGCAGGGCCTCGAAAAAACGACTCGAGAGGCCCCCCGACAGAGCCCCCGGGGATAGCACCATGCGGTGCTTGCGGATCGTGCGGGTGATGTGCACGTTGACCTCCTCCTCCTCCTCCTCCTCCTCCTCCTCCTCCGCCGCCTCCTCCTCCGCCTCCTCCTCCTCCTCCTCCTCCTCCTCCTCCTCCTCCTCCTCCTCCCCTCCTCGTCCTCCACCTCCTGCTCCTCCTCCTCCCCCCTAGCGGGAATCCGCGAGACTGGTTTCCGTCTGTGCAGGACGACGGCGCGCGGCGCTAGAAGGCGCGAGCCACAGTCCGAATTGGAGCCACCCTCTGTCCGTGAAGTTCTTGCAGACTTTCAAGACGATCGGGGGTGGACAGACCTCCGACCCTGAAGCGTCGATTAGCGAATTGGCCGCTCTCGGTTCGCGAGAGGGCGTCGCGGCAGTCATTTTTTGCGGGTCCGGGTCCGTCAGTTTCGGTCCCAGGCCGTTGTCACCAAGGGTGGTTTACTAAGAGGAGGTTTGTCCACCGCCGGAACGACGGTGCGCGGCGCGAGCGAGGGCCGCACGGTGAAGACGGCCCGTCTCCGCGCGTGGTCGAGGCAGGATTTTTCTGGGGGGGGCAGGGCAGGGGCCACGCTCATCAATCGGCGGCGAGCGAGGGGGCTAAACACAGGCGAATGATCGTCGATCCCAAGACAAGAGAAAAGTCGGGCGACCGCAAACGCGGATCAAGGGGGCGTGGATTAGCGACGGGTCCCTTTTCCATGGGGAATCGCGGAGTTCCGCCGCCGAAGGAGGCTGCACCGACCGACCGCATGTTGGGGAGGGCACTTCCCCCGATCCATGGATTTGGCGACCGCGCGCCAAATCCATGGATCGCTGATCCATGTTTCCGCGCCCTCGAGATTGGACAATCTGGGAAGCGAGAGGAAGGCGACCATCACAGAAAACATTAAGAAGCAGGGAAGCCCTCGGACTTGTGTGCATCTATTGCCGGAAATGCTCTTTCGGCTTGTGCCGTTTTTTCTTCGTCGGCTCACCCCGTGTCGGCGGCGAGCGAGGGGGGAAGTGAGAAAGCGAAGGCCTTCTCAGAAGGTGGCGGGACTTCTCCGAAGCCCTCGCGCCTTTCTGAGGGTTTTGATTATAGCGTCGGGGAAGGCTCAGAAAACTTCTCAGAAAGCCAGGGGCACTTCCGAGCCCTCTGGGAAGGCCTTCCCCTTCTCACTTCCCTGCCCTGGCTGGCCGCCAAGTCAATGCAGGGCCACGTTTCCAGTCAGGGGGAGCAGTTCGTGACCCCACAGGCGAGGACTCGGGGTGGAGCCTGCGACACGCGAGTTGCAGGAGGCCGGATTTGGGACGACGGGCATGCGCAGAGAAGTGCCGCCTGAGACAATGGCCAGGTCGTGTCGGGCGGGCGGGCCAGGCGGACCCTGATGGGCGGGTCGGGCCAGGCGTGCCGGACATTCAAGTATGCTGCGTCATCAAGATGGCACTTGTGCGCCACAACGGGCGCGTCGTGTCGGGCTGGCGCTTCGGGTCGGTTGGGCTCTAGTGGGCGGGTCGGTCAGGGCGGCCGGGGCAGTCAAGTATGATGCATCCTCGCGATGGCACGCTGGTACCAAAACGGGCGGGTCGGGTCGGCCGGGCGGGTCAGTGAAGTACGATGCATCGTTTAGTTGGCGCGTGCGTGCGCTCACGGGCGGGTCGGGTCGGGCGGGCGGACCGTAACAGGCGGGTCGTCTCGGGCAGGCGGGACCACGCAGGATGATGCATGATCGAGTTGGCACGCGTGCACCAACGGGCGGGTCGGGTCGGGCGGGGCGGGACATTATAACATGATGCATCATCGAGTTCGCACGCGCGCACCCCAACTGGCGGGGCGGGCCAGGGCGGGCGGACCCTGGCAGCGGGTCGGATCGGGCGGGCGGGAGATTCAAGTGTGATGTATCCGCGAGTCGGCGCGCGTGTGCCCTGACGGGTAGGTCGGGCGGGCGGGTCGAGTCGGGCGGGCCCTACTGGCCGGGTCGAGCTGGGCGGGCGGGACAATACATTATGTTGCCCCAAACCAACAGCGGCCGCTGTTGGGCAGGCAGCCTTCTGTCTCGGGATGTGCGAACCCTAATGGGCGGGTCGGGTCGGCAGAGGGGATATAAAGTATGATGTATCATCGAGTTGGCACGCGCGTACCCTCTGGGGCGGGATGGGTCGGGCGGGCGGGACAGTCCTGTTTGATGCATCATCGAGTTGGCACTCGCCCGCCCGAACGGGCGGGTGGCGAGCGGGTCGTGTTGGGCGAGCGGGACCTGAAAGCGCGATGCGTCATCGAGTTGGCGAAGATTGCGACGTGGGAGAAGACGACGAGGATGACGCCGAGTACGAGGGGTCGACTACGAGGGCGGAGACGACGAGGGCGACAACGACGACGACGACGACGACGAGAGCGACGAAGCCGAAGAGGGCGACAAAGACGATAATTACAACGACAACGAGGGCGAAAATGATGACGAAGGCGACGACGACGAGGACAATGACGACGAGGACGACGAGGGACGCAGACGACGACGCAACGACGACGGGGGCGATGACAACGAAGGCGGCGACTAAAGATACATATTGACTGATCCTGCCCAGGTGTCTCAGAGTGGACTGTGGAAAGCCAGGGGCACCTTGGTTCGGGGACACTGTCAGCACCCCCCCAAGGAGGGTGGGACAGCGCCAGACCAAGGAACTCCGCGCGGACCTCCGACAGTTTAAGTTCATATCGGCGATGAGCCTCTGGAGGACGAGGAAGGCCGCCGATGTCTCAATTGGCTCCCCTCCAAAAGTAGTCGAGCAATTTTTTCTGGTGAGTATTCTCCAGCAGAGGGGTCATGCTTGTCGCGCGCCAACGGCCAGGAGGCTCCTCGAGCACCCTCGAGAACATCATCCCGGACTGCAGAGTGGTCATTCATGCAAACGGGGGTCAGTCAGAGCCAGGGGTGCACTGAGCCAGGCTTGCGCGCAGGATCTTGTAGGAGCGTGCAGGATCTTACAGGACCCTGCAAAGCCCGACTGACCCGGGTTTGGATTGACTCAGTAGGTCCCCGACCGCCCTTTCTGCCTCTCCCTGCCACACATCCGCCTACTGCAGCCACATGTCCTGGAGGGGAAATGTCAGTCCCAGGGTCTCGTGCATAATGTGTGCTCGAGGGACGGCTGCTTGCTTGACATCGGCGGGGACATGGTGTTCTCGCGCCGCCCATCGGTCGCCGCCGGTCTGCTTTTCACTGACGCTTTGACCAGGTGATGCTCGCCGCCGCCGCCGCCGCCCTCTCTCGACCGAGTGGGAACTTGGGGACCTGGCCAAGGCAGGGCAATGCCTCGGGCTGTGCACAGACAGCCCCCCCCCGGGTAGTCTCGGCTGGCCTGAGCAGCAGGCCCCCCGCCGAGTACAGTGGAGACCCATGCCAAGAAACACCCTGCTCGCCTCCATGGTGCCCTCGGTTCCTTGGATTTCGATGGTTCTGCCATGGAAAGAGTGACGTTTTCCATGTCAAAAACCAATGGACGCCCTGGGGTCTCAGGGTTGGATTTCTCGTGGGAGGTTTCTTGTGGACTGGTCTCCACTGTGCGTGCGCAGTCTGGGCCTGTTTCAACACCCCAGGACCTTTGGGCGCGGCACGCCCTTGGGGGTCCGCCGAGGGCGGCGCCGGGGTGCTGCTGCGACCGCCCCGCACTACTCCGGGGGGGTCTGTCGAGGCCAGCCAGGACTTCCGTAGGAGCTCTCTGCCCGGAGAGCCCCCCCGCACGGCCGCGAGGGCCCAGTGAGAGACCCAGGACGGCCCAGGAGGTCCACACGAGAGCCCCAGAGAGCCACATGGGACCTTCATCAGTGCCCCTCGGGAGATCAGGGCAGCCCCAAGACTACCCAAATGAGGTCCATGTAGGCCCCGAGAAGTAGGACGAAAAGGTGGCGCCTGCGTGAGTCTCCGTCTCTGTAGCCCCGGTTTCCGTCGGGAGAGTGGCCTCCAGGATCCCATGCCGGGGCTTGCCTCAAGAGCCAGATGGGATAACCCCGAGCAGGAGGAGGAGTAGGAGGAGGAGGAAGAGGAGGAGGAGGAGGAGGAGGAGGAGGAGGAGGAGGAGGAGGAGGGAGGAGGGAGGAGAGGAGGAGGAGGAGGAGGAGGAGGAGGAGGGAGGAGAGGAGGAGGAGGAGGAGGAGGAGGAGGAGGAGGAGGAGGAGGAGGAGGAGGGGATCCGCCCACTGACCCGCACACGGCCGGACTCTGCCCAGATAGTAGATCATACCCCTCCCCCTTCACCCCTGAGGATTGATTTTCCCTGGCCAAGGCACAGTTGGTCGGGGGAGAGGGGCGGCAAGGCCGAACTTGACTATCGCAGGGGGTAAGTTACGAATCGAAGTTGCTATTGTCTTGTGTTGATTCTCAACATCATCAACCACGTGTGGCATGGCAATGAGGTTCTCACCATGTGAGTTTTCGCAAGTCACGAACGTCAAGGATGAACACAGACCAGCTTTAGGATCTCAAGAGCACGTGCCAAGGATATCAAGAGGGTAGTTGGTTACCAGCTCGCCCAACACCTTTACGTCACGCGGAGGTCCGCCGAGAAGGTGTTAGACCTAAGAGGGCGGCCCACAGAGAACAGTCCCGCAAAAAATTGACAAGCCAGGACTTTCTGGGGGGGGCTGCCCTGTGCGCAACCCGAAGCCCTACCCCACATGCGATGTCCTGATTTGTCGATTTGACAGCGTGATGCCCCCCCGTCAGCATGGTCCAGATGTTGATGTGGGGGGCGTCAGCATTGTTCTTGGTCTGCGCACCGCAAGCATCATCATGCGGGCACCACCGCCGTCCCTGCCAAAAAACAATACAAAGTGATCGCGGGTGGCCAGCACAATACCCACGACGTTGTCGCAACATGCATTTTGCATTGTTGTTGACACGGATGGTGGTCCTGCACAAAGCGGCTTCACTAAGGGTGCCCCGCCGTCCCTGTCAAAGAACAATGCAATTTGCTCACAGGGTACCAGCACACTGTCCAGATCTTGCAGCAATGTGCACTTCGTATTGTGTTTTGAAAGAGAATGTGGAGGGTGTTGGCAGGGTGGGCCCCGCAATGTGCATTTTGTATTGTTTTTTGAGAGGGATGGTGGGGGGGTGCCCCCATGGTGTGCGCATGGTTCCGGGTTGGCTGCCGGCCGGGCGTGGGAGAGGGTGTTTATTAATAGGGAACAGTGATAAACCTTACCCCGAAGGGAAAGAAGGGGGTTGGAAGAGGAGCCACCCTAGACCACCTTACGCCCTAAAGGGCTGGTGGGATTTATGCAGACATTTTGCTCTCGCGTGGCACTTCCTCACAATGTATTCAAACGCCGCGCCCTCGACACACAGGAATCACCCACTCGCTCTGCCCTATCTCATGATTTTCCTGGTTATCGTGCTATCGCTCAAGATTCGCGATTCATGCAGGACGTACGCTTCCCGACCCGCCTGTTAGGGTCTGCCCGCCCGATCTGCCCGTCTGGTTCTGCCACGTGTTTTCAGCTTTTAGCCCCCCTTCTGCTAATTTCTCTCGTGCTCCATCCTTCCATCCGTCCTCTCTTCCCTTGTTTTAGGCGCTGCACTGAATGCACGTGGCAGGTAAGGAAGAAATATACCCCCCACGGGGGTACGATCGAAGACGACGACGAAGAGGGCGAGTACCGGCGGTTTGGGACATACGTGTTGAATGGCACGCGAGCAGGTCGGAGCGAGCAGTCTTAAAATGATTGTTTTTGTTATTCTTATCATTATTGTTTTTATCATTATTATTGTAGTTGTTGTTGGTCGTTTCTCCAGTCACGAGGCAGGCCCTCACCTGTGAGCACGATGCGGTGGACAAGATCGCGGCTGGAACACACAGCAGCGAAGCCGGCAAGTCTCAGGCTGCAGTTCTCTGCATCCAGGGGGTGTCCGCACTGAAAGCAAGACCATACAAATCACGTGCGATGTGCCTTTTCCAGTTGGGCCTGGTTGTCACCATCCTGTCGTCACCTCGATGGAGGGAGCGAGGAAGGAGGCAGGAGGTCGGGGCTTTCGTTGGGGGCTCGGAGCACGGATGAATGAGTGGAATTCGAAGGACACGAAGCTACATCACTTTGGGAGGTCATCGCGGAATCTGTTTGGTTGGTGCTTGGCCCTCCGTGGCGGCGCCTCTGGCGCCGACCCTGGCGTGCTCCGCGCGTCGGGGGAGTGGGGTCCAGCGGCTTCCATGAAATCTGCGAGGACGGTACTCTAGGGGTCCTTGGAGTCCTCGGGCCTCCTCCGCTTGCTTGAGGCCCGAGGACTCCAAGGACCCCTAGAGTACCCACTAGCCCTGGGAAAAAAATCCGCGAGGACGTTCGGCAACAGCATAGTTATGTAAGAGAAGTGGCTTGTTTTTCTGCAGTGGGATGGCGGTCCAGGGCTCTGGTCCCTCGTGCGAGGTCTCCGTGCTCTGCCGCTACGACGGCCTGTGGCTGCCGACCGTGATGCAGTACGTGCAGAAGCAGTTCCAGCTAGGCTCGAGCGTGCAACAAGGGAGTGGCCAGGGGAGGGCGTGGCGCAGCTCGAGGGTTGCCAGAGGTCGTGGTGCAATGGGCCCGATGGAGTGCCACGGTTGTTGAATCATCACCACCTCATTTCTCTCCCGTCCGTGTTGTTTTCGGGAGGTACCGTAACAGGCGGAGAGGCGCATTGCAGATCGGCGTCGAATGAGTTTAGACGAACGCGTCCAACACAGTCTAGAGTGCAGAATGGCTCGTCGATGTGTCGCCTTGTATACAGCACGGTCCGACTGCAGTGCGCGTGCATCACATGTTTCCAGGCGTATCCCCAACATAAGTATCCGTGAGGTGCACTGACATGCCTGACTGGCTCATTGGTCACACCCTTAAGGCCGCAGTTTAATCTTCGGCCGCCGAATGCATAATTCAGGTGGTGCAGTCGTCGCCGTTGCAGTATGCGGCCGCCGAGTGCGCAACCTCTGATGGCACAACCAACGGAAAGCCGCACGGCCGCCGAGGGCGCATCCCATGGCGCAACCAATAGTATGCCGTAATAGTTTTGTTCCCCGAGTGCGCAGCGTATAGCGCAACCACCAGCAGGCCGCAAGCAGTTTCGGCCGCCGCGTGCGCAGCCTGTAGCGCAACCGACGACCGGCTGGCTTTTAATTTCAACCACCAGGTGTTCACGCCATGGCGTAGCCGCCAGCAGGCCGCCTTAGTTTCGGCCGCCGAGTGCGTACCCCATGGTGCAGCGAGTTGCGGTGCTGGGGGGCACAGGTGGACGGGGAACGTGACAGGCCCAGGAGGCAGAGGGGCACCGATGATGATGACGCCACGACGATGGCGACGACGTAAAGACCGAAGCCGACCCTGAGCAGACCGACGAGGCCCATGATGGGTGGACTCGCCAGTTCTTAACGGTTCGCGTATCCCTACCAGCCCATCAAGAAACGATGTCCAGGCGACGTGTTTGGAACAGGAAAGTGCAGGAGTAAGCAGTGGATCAACGAGGAAGGCAGCTGTCTTACTGAAGCGCGGGATCAGCTTAATTAGATCCAGGAGGCAAACATAAATGGTTTCGCGGGTGTTTCGATGTGGGAGCTTCTTGGAAGTTTATCCGGGCAATTGTGAAGCCCCGTGGGGCCATGGATGCATGTGAGGCTCTCGTGTGACCCTGTCGGGAAGCTTTCGGGCCGCTTATGCCACCCGTCAGGTTAGACCCTATTGTAGCGTTCGTGGAGTGCTATTGGTGGTCATTTGGATCGTATCGACGCCCGTATGGGTGTTTGATGAGGTTCTCTTGGGGGCGGTCTTGAAGCCATTCTGAGGCCTGGACACGTGAAAACACGTGCCACGCAAGAGGCACAGACGCCGGACGAATGTTCGATACCCCTCCGAGCACGCAGTTGTACGTGTGGGAAGCCTGGCGACCTCATGTTGCAGTTGAAGCCGATGCTAAGGCCTCTCAAAGGTACCCTTGCACCCTTGCCTCTCGAGTCCATCCTGAGCCACTTTCGATGGCCAGCCCGCTCGATGAGACTCGACATGTGCGTCCAAGGGCCTTGCATCCTCATCGCGGATCCTTACTAAACGTTGTGCATGCCGAGGTCCTCCCCCCGTTGCGTGGACACGTGGAAACATCTTTCATGCACAGGCGCATCGGCGCGTGACGCATGTTAAGATCCCCTCCGCGCACCTATGCTTGCTATGTGGGAGCCCAACGACCACATGTTAGATATCCTCCCAAGGTGGCCTAGACTCCTGGAACACGTGCCAAGGGTACGAGCGCCAGACGCATGTTAGATACCCCTCCGCACACGTATTTTTACGTCGTGCTACCAGTCCGACGACTTCATCTTAGATATCCCTTGGGTGGCCTAGACACGTGGAAATTCGCACCAAGTGCACAGGAGCCAAATGCTTGTTAGATGCCCCATCCACGCGCGCATTTTTTCGTATGGGTAGGGGGGGCCCGACGGCCACATGTTAGTATCTCCCCATGTGTGGCGTGGACGTGTAAACACACGGGCCAAAAGGCACCGGCGCCAGGCGTACATTAGATATCCCCTTCGCGCGTGCAATTCTACGTGCAAAGGACTCGACGACCTCGTGTTAGACATCCGCCTAGGCGACCTGGACACGTGAAAGCAAGTGTTTCGCATGAGACATCCTCAACAATTTCTCATGTTCGACATTTCCCTGGGCGACCTGGACACCCGAACACAAGCGCGCCGCCAGAGACATGCTCAACAGATCCTCGTGTTTGATATCCGCCTGGGCGACCCGAGGCGCTTTGAAACAGGTGTTTCAGACGAGAGATCCTCGAAAGTTCTGCGAACAGGATATTGGTTCTTGATTCGATGAACACGTAACGTCCATGACGGGGGGGCCCCCCCCGTCACGGTAATGAACGTACGTGAAGAGGGGGGCCGCAACCCCCCACATCTACCGCACCGTGCTCAAAGGCATGGTGTGTGGTGCTGACAGGCACCCGATAGCCCACAGACGCCTCCAAGAGTGGCCGTCGTCGTCGTCCTCGTCGTCGTTGCTGTCGTCGTCGCCGTCGTCTCCGTCTCCGTCACCGTCACAGTCACAGTCACCGTCGTCGTCGTCGTCGTCCTGTTGTCGGCTTCGGCGTCTGCGTCGTCCCCAAAGTCGTCGTCGTGGTGTTGTGATCACGTCGTCGTCATCGTCGTCGTTCTCATCCTCGTCGCCGTCGACATCGTCATCGTCGTCGCCGTCGTTATCGCCATTGGGCCATTGTCGTCATCGTCGTCCTTCGTCGTCGTCGTCGTTTCCGAGTGCCTCGAAGGGCCTGCAGACGCCTCCAGAGGCCTCCGGAGATTTCCTGAGGCCTCTGGAGACCGGAGGCTTGCGTGGACCTCCAGAGGCGGCCGTCGTCGTCTTCGTCGTCGTCGTCGTCTGACGCCTCCACAGGACTCCAGAGACCTCCCGAGTCCTGTGGCTACCTCCGCAGATCTTCAGGGCGGCCGTCCTCGCGCTCGTTGCCGTTGTCGTCGTTCGTCGTCGTCGTCGTCGTTGTCGTCGTCGTTGTCCTCGTTTTCGTCCCCGTCCTCGTCCTCGTCCTCGTCTTCTTTCTCGTCCTCGTCCTCGTCCTGGTCGTCGTCGTTGCCATCATAGCCCTCGTCGTCGTCGTCATTATCGTTGTTGTCGTTGTCGTCGCCGTCGTTGTCGTCGTCGTTAATCCTCGTCGTCCTCGTCCTCCTCGTCGGCGTAGTTCCCAAGGGCCTCGAAGGGCCTCCAGACGCCTGCAGAGGCCTCCAGAGACGTCATCAGGCCTCCGGACTCGTCGTCGTTCTCGTGGCGTCGCCGTCGTTCTCGCCATCGTCGTTGTCGCCGTTGGCGTAGTCGTCGTCGTTGTCGTCGTCGTTGTCGCCTTGGTCGTCGTCGTCGTCGTCGCCGCCGCCGCCGCCGTCGCCGCCTGTCGTCGTCGTCGTCGTCGCCGCCGCCGCCGCTGTCGCCGCCTCCGTCGTCGTCGTCGTCGTCGTCGTCGTCGTCGTCGTCGTCGTCGTCGTCTCCGCGGCCCTCGAAGGGCCTTCAGACGCCTCCAGAAGCCTCCCCAGAGACCTCTCGTAGCCTCTGGAGACCTCTGGAGATGCTTAGAGGTGGCCGTCGTTGTCCTCGTCGTCGTCGTCATCGTCGTCCGCGTCCTCGTCCTCGTTGTCGTCGTCATCGTCGCCCTCGTCGTCCTCGTCGTCGTCGTCGTCGTCCTCGTTATCCGTTCCCTCGTCGGCGTCGGCGTCGTCTTCGGCGTCGTCGTTGTTCTCGTCGTATTCCCTGTCTTCGTTCTCGTTCTCCTCGTCGTTTTGGAGGGCGTTGAAGTGCCTCCGGACGATCCAGTTTTTGGTGCAACGTGCAAACACGTTTTCGTATTTGTTGCAAGGGATGCTAGGGGGGTGTTGGCAGTGTCCAAGGTTTGTCGGTCGGGTGGGGGAGGGGGCACGTGTTCATCAGGGGTAGTGATTAGGGGAACAAAACATGACATAAACATAAAAACTCTGAGGTCCGCGCGGATTTCTCGGATCGGCGCTGGGGCCCCCCCGCGGCGCCTCTGGCGCCGCCTCTGGCGCGCTCCGCGCGCCAGGGAGGGGGGTCCAGCGCCGATCCGAGAAATCCGCGCGGACCTCCAAGTTTTTATGTTCATGTCACTGTTTGTTCCCCTAGTGTTCAGGGGTAGTGACGAGCCCCTCCCCCGAAGGGGAAACCACCTCGCGCCCAGAGGGCTGGTGGGTCCTCGTGGACAGACGGAGCGGCCCGGGAAGGCCACAGGAAGGCCTGCGGTGCCCGGAGGCCGGCCCGAGCGGAGGCACAGGCAGCGCAAGTTTAGGTTGGGCAGGTCCCTACACAGGAGGAGTGCTCACAAATAGTTTAGAAGATAGCCTGGAAGAACTTGTCATTTTTATTGTATGTTTTGGTTTTAAATAGTTTTTGGTGCATCTGTGATTCGAAATCCGCCTGTAGGAGGACATGCCCGACCTACGCTTAAGTTGCGGGTTGCTGGAGGTGCCCCTGGCCCACGGTGCCCCCAGCGTTTCGCCCCATGTTCGA